TGTTTTCCTGCTTGAGCAGGGGGTTGGATCAGATGACTTCCAAGGTCCCTTCCAACTCCATTACTCTGTTGAGTTTCGACATCAGTTTAAGGCAACGGTGACCCAGATTTTTTCCCCCCAACGTTGCGCTTCAACCAGTGGTGAAATCCATTTTTTTTTACTACCGGTTCTGTGGGTGTGGCTTGATGGGCGTGGCTTGGTGGGCATGGCAGGGGAAGGATACTGCAAAATCCCCATTCCCTCCCCACTCCTGGGGGAAGGATATTGCAAAATCTCCATTCCCACCCCATTCTGGGGCCAGCCAGAGGTGGTATTTGCCGGTCTTCTGAACTACTCACAATTTCCGCTACCAGTTCGTCAGAACCTGTCCGAACCTACTGGATTTCACCCCTGGCTTCAACCATGCTGGCTAGGATATATTAAGTCCCGGCGTTGTAACTTCAGTCCCGGATTTGTAACTCTTGTTTCATAGCAACGAAAGCAGTTCCTGGATCTCGTCTATCCGGAGATATTTTTAACCTTCCGGTTTTGCTGATTCAGCAGAAGCTGGGATGGAGAGGGTGGCGAGCCATGCAGAGACTACGCCTCGTGGGCGCCACTGCAACCTCGGAAGGTGACCCTCAGCGGCTGATCCTTCCAAGACCAGTCGCCACATGACAGACGCCACCTCTGTTCCAAGTGGAAGAGGTTGGGGGTGGGGGGAGGCGAGACGCAGAAGAAATGCTGCACTGGAGCATTCCTGCACACGATTCCCCCAAACTTGCTGTCTGCAATCTTTTTTTCTTTTTCTTTTCCCCTTTCCTCTCCTGGGTGTGAAACAGAAATGAATCACAAAAGGCTCAAAAGCAATCAAACTGGGCATTTGGAGCCGTGGCGGGTTTCAAATTTTTTTACTACCGGTTCTGTGGGCGTGGCTTGGTGGGCGTGGCATTGCATGGCATGGTGGGTGTGGCTTGGTGGGTGTGGCAGGGGAAGGATTCTGTAAAATCTCCATTCCCTCCCTTCCACTCCAGGGAAAGGATACTGTAAAATCACCATTCCTTCCCCACCCCAGGGGAAGGATACTGCAAAATCCCCATTTCCTCCCGATCAGCTGGGACTTGGGAGGCAGGGAATAGTTGGGGGCGGGGCCAGTCTGAATTTTTACTACCAGTTCTCTGAACTACTCAACATTTCCATTCCCGGTTCTCCAGAACTGGTCAGAACCTGCTGAAACCCACCTCAGCCGGCACCACAGCCGGGGGGGGGGATGACATTTTCACACTCCCCAATCTCTGGAAGCTTTCCTCGAGCCTCCGGAGGCCCTCCAGAGACCGGAAACAGGCCCGTTTCCGGATTTCCAGAACCGGAATGGAGACTTTGCAGTATCCTTCCCCTGCCACACCCACCAAGCCACACCACGCCCACCATCCTATCCTAAATTCTTATTCTATTCTATTCTATTCTATTCTATTCTATTCTATTCTATTCTATTCTATTCTATTCTATTCTATTCTATTCCTATTTCCATCCTATCCTAAATTCTAATTCTGTTCTATTCTATTCTATTCTATTCTATTCCTATTTCTATTTCTATCCTATCCTAAATTCTTATTCTTATTCTATTCTATTCTATTCTATTCTACTCTATTCCTATTTCTATTTCTATCCTATCCTAAATTCTTATTCTATTCTATTCTATTCTATTCTATTCCTATTTCCATTTCTATCCTATCCTAAATTCTTATTCTATTCTATTCTATTCTATTCTATTCTATTCTATTCTATTCTATTCTATTCCTATTTCCATTTCTATCCTATCCTAAATTCTTATTCTATTCTATTCTATTCTATTCTATTCCTATTTCCATTTCTATCCTATCCTAAATTCTTAATTCTATTCTATTCTATTCTATTCTATTCTATTCTATTCTATTCTATTCCTATTTCCATTTCTATCCTATCCTATCCTATCCTATCCTAAATTCTTATTCTATTCTATTCTATTCTATTCTATTCTATTCTATTCTATTCTATTCCTATTTCCATTTCTATCCTATCCTAAATTCTTATTCTATTCTATTCTATTCTATTCTATTCTATTCTATTCTATTCTATTCTATTCCTATCCTATCCTAAATTCTTATTCTATTCTAAATTTTTATTCCTATTCCTATTCCTATTCCATTCCATTCTATTGTTCCAGATCGCTTCTCTCCTTGGTTAGTTTCCACCCATTGCTCCTTGCCCTGCCTTCAGGGGCTTTGGAGAGTCAAGCCGGCCCCCTCTTCTTTGTGGCAGCCCCTCAAATATTGGAATAAGGTAAGGGAGGAAGGAGATGAAACCAATTGCAAGTCATCGCGCGCAGCACTGCCTTGTGCAGCTGACATAAAACAGGCCTATGTGTGTCTATTTGTGTGCACGCCTATGCAGGTGCGTGGGTGTGGGAGAGAGACGGAAAAAGAGAGAGGGAGATTTTTCAATATTTATGGGTTTGTTTCCTTGCGGCTGCCCTTCCAAAGGAGATTCCTCACCCACCCACCCCCAGCGTGGAATCCGAATGATGAAAGCTGCGTTGCTAGCAGAAACCTCTTCCTTTGCCAGTTCCAAAATGACTTGCATTTCTAAGCATTATTATTATTTTTTCTTGGTTTTGATGTTCTTCCAAAGCATGGAAAGGTTTGGAAGGTTTGAAAGGTTTTCCAAAAGTTTGGAAAATTAATTTTATTACACCACCCCCACTAATAGAAAAAAGTAAAAAAAAAAAAACTCCAAACCACTAGAATTTTAAAATGTAAATGGGTGGATACGCGGTGGGGAATTCTGGGAGTTGAAGTCCGCACATCATAGAGTTGCCATGGGTTGAGAAAAACTGCCCTATACATGATTAACGTGCTTGGGAGAGGAAGACAAACAGGCGGGGGGGCCTATAATGACAATGTGATTCGTGAGAAAGAAGAACCCATGTTCTCCAAGAGGCCAACAGAAAGAAGAAAACACTATGGATCTATAACAGTGATGCCCCCCCCACTGAACCCCAAAATGCAATGCGCGCATTGCATTTTGGGGTTCAGTGGGGAGAATAGAATAGAGTAAGAATAAGAATAAGAATTAGAATAGAATAGAATACAAAAGAATAGAATGAATAGAATAGAATAGAATATAGAATGAAATAGAATAGAATAGAATAGAATAGAATAGAATATGGAATGAAATATAATAGAATAGAATAGAATATAGAATGAAATAGAATAGAATAGAAAATAGAATAGAATAGAATAAAATAGAATAGAATATAGAATGAAATAGAATAGAATAGAAAATAGAATAGAATAAGAATAAGAATTAGAATAGAATAGAATAGAATAAGAATAAGAATTTAGAATAGAATAGAATACAAAAGAATAGATTAGAATGAATAGAATAGAATAGAATATAGAATGAAATAGAATAGAATGAAATAGAATAGAATAGAATATAGAATGAAATAGAATAGAATAGAATAGAGAATGAAATAGAATAGAATAGAATATGAAAATAGATAGAATAGAATAGAATAGAATGAAATAGAATAGAATAGAATAGAATATAGAATGAAATATAGAATAGAATAGAATAGAATAGAATAGAATAGAATAGAATAGAATAGAATAGAATTCTGTATTGGCCAAGTGTGATTGGACACACAAGGAATTTGTCTTTGGTGCCTAGGCTCTCAGTGTACATAAAAGACCTGGTTTTATATCAAAGAACACCAGGGTGCCTCTGAGCACATGCAAAGGGTGTTTTTTTTTTTTTCCTCTGCTTCCCCATCAGCTTTCAAATATTTACCTTGGACCGGTGCAAGTGAAGGCTGCCCCTCACCACCTACAAAAGAGGGAATGGACGGAAGCACAGTCCAAAAGGCCCCTAAATCACAATGGCAACCCGAGTGGGGGGGGGCAGATCATCCTAACACCCAATTTTCCATGATGGAGGATTAAGGATTTAAATGATCTTTGGAGGGAGGTGGGGGGGGGAGGGAAAATCTTTTTGGATGACGGCTAGCATGAGTAGGGATAAAATTCTGTTTGGTTGCAGGAAGTCCAACAAATCCTTCTATAATAGGACAGCCGCATCGGATTTAATAAAAGTTTGGGGAAACTTTCTTTCTTTCTTTCTTTTCTTTCTTTCTTTCCTTCTTTCTTTCTTCTTTTCTTTCTTTCTTTCTTTCTTCTTCCTTCCTTCCTTCCTTCCTTCCTTCCTTCCTTCCTTCTTTCTTTCTTTACTTTATTTTGTCGCATTTCTATGCCGCCCAACTCCCAAGGGGACTCTGGACGACTTACAACAATGAATAAAACAATGCGAACAATCCCATAAAAAAATGTTAAAAAGAAAAACATTAAAACATTAAAAACTTTAAAAACGTTAAAACACACGCGCTCATTTGTTAGATAGGTGTGTCTGTGTGGGGGTCCCTCTCCATCACACATTCCATTCCACATTTATTTTCCTGAACAATAACCCTGCGAGGTAGGGGTTTTTTTGGGGGTGTGTCTGGGGAGGGGGGCGGGAAATCGCCCCAAAGCTATCCAAGGAGGTTCCACAGCAGAGATGGATCTGAAGTGAACCCCCCCTTCTCCCCCCAGATAGAGAGTCTGTCTATCTCAGGCTAGACTAAATCGGGATTTAATCCTGGGGCGCATTTGCGGCACTTTTCCAACTTGCTCATTCTTCGGGTTTTTTTGGGGGGGGGGAAGGGAGGCTAGGTCTACCTCTGCACTGCGCCTGTAGTTTGGGGGAGAGCTGGCTGGGTGGAGGGGAGCCCCTCTGTGCCCCGAGGAGAGGAGGGAAGGGAGGGTTGCACAGAGATTTTTGTCTGGTTCGCCCCAGCCGGTTGGAAAGGCGAGGCTGCGCTCGTTGCCTCCTCCTCCTCTTCCTCCTCCTCCTCCTCCTCCTCCTCCTCCTCGGAGGGGCGGCTCCGGACTGCATATAAGCGGCCCCGGCTGGCCGGCTGCCGCAGTGTCCTCTCCGACGGCGCGATGCTAAGCTACGGCGCGGAGGTGCTGTTCGGAGGCGGCCCTGCAGCTTTCCGCAAGGATGCCGGGGGCGGCTTGCGCTCAGCCGGCCCGGCGGGGTTCTCGCGCTCCGGGATGGGCTCCTTATCCTCCAGCGGCTTCCACTCGCAGGGCTGGTCTCGCTGCTCGGCTTCGGCATCCCGGCGCCAGCTGGGCTCATCCACCGAGAGTTTGGAGTCTCTGGGCCCGCTGAACGGCGAGTTGCGCCTGGGGCGCAACGAGAAGGAGGTGCTGCAATCGCTCAACGACCGCTTCGCCGGCTACATCGACAAGGTGCGCGCTTTGGAGATGCAGAACCGGCAGCTGGAAGGCGAGGCGGCGGCCCTGCGCCAGCAACAAGCCGGCCGCTCGGCTCTAGGCGAGTTGTACGAGCGCGAGATCCGCGAGATGCGCGGGGCGCTGGTGCGGGTGAGCAACGAGAAAGGGCAGCTGCGCCTGGAGCAGGAGAGGCTGGAGGAAGAGGTGGGGGCGCTGCGCCAGCGGCTGGACGACGAAGCCCGGCTGCGCGAGGAGAACGAGGCGGCCGCCCGATCCTTAGCCAAATTCACCGACCAAGCCCAGATGACCAAAGGCGAGCTGGAGAGGAAGCTGGCCTCCCTGCGCGAGGAGAGCCTCTTCCTCCGCCGCAGCCACGGCGACGAGGTGGCCGAGCTGCTGCGCCAGATCCAAGGCGCCGGCCCGGCCGCCGTCTTCGAGTTGCGCGAGTTGCCCGCCGTCCAGTCGGATGTCACCTCTGCGCTCAAGGAGATCCGCGCCCAGCTGGAGGGTCACACCTTCAAGAGCTCGCTGCAGTCGGAGGAGTTTTTCCGAGGTGAGTCGGGGATGGGGACGACCCCGGAGGAAGGGGTGGGGTGGGGGGCTCCTGCAGCGACCTCCCCACTCCGGGCGATTGGGAGGGGGTGGGTGGGGCACCAGGCGCTCTGATAGGGATGAGTCAAATGCTTTCCCGAGCCCCCTGAAGCGCCGGAAAGCAGGAATGGGGTCTCCAACACCCATTTTTAAGAAGAAATTGGACAATCATTTGTCTGAAGTGGTACAATAGCGCTTAAGACTTATATGCCGCTTCACAGTGCTTTCCAGCCGTCTCTAAGCGTTTTACAGAGTCAGCCTCTTGCCCCCAACAATCTGGGTCCTCGTTTTACCCACCTCGGAAGGATGGATAGAAGGCTGAGTCAACCTTGAGCCAGGTCAGGATCGAACTCCCAACTGTGGGCAGAGTTATCCTCCAATGCTGCATTCTGACCACTGCGAAGGAAGGAAGGAAGGAAGGAGGAAGGAAGAGAGGAGGAAAGAAAGGAGGGAGAGAGGGAGGGAAGAAGGAAGGAAGGAAGGAGGGAAGGAAGGAGGAAGGGAGGGGAGGAGGAAAGAAGGGAGAGAGTGAGTGAGGGAGTGAGGGAGGAAGGAAGGAAGGAAGGAGGGAGAGAGGGAGGGAAGAAGGAAGGAAGGAAGGAAGGAAGGAGGAAGGAAGGGAGGAGGAAAGAAAGGAGGGAGGAGAGGGAGGGAAGAAGGAAGGAAGGAAGGAAGGAAGGAGGAAGGGAGGGAGGAGGAAAGAAGGGAGAGAGTGAGTGAGTGAGGAAGGAAGGAAGGAAGGAAGGAAGGGCAAAGCAATAGCAATTGCAGTAGCACTTAGACTTATATACCGCTTCACGGTGATTTACAGCCTGCTCTAAGCAGTTTATAGAGTCAGCCTCTTGCCCCCAACAATCTGGGTCCTCATTTTACCGACCTCGGAAGGATGGAAGGCTGAGTCAACCTTGAGCCTTGGTCAGGATCGAACTGCCGCCAGTCTGCAGTCAGCAGAATTAGTATAGGGTTTCCTGCTTGAGGAGGGGGCTGGACTAGAAGACCTCTAAGATCCCTTCCAACTCTGTGATTCTGTCCCCCCCCCCGTCTTTAAAGAGAGGAAAAGTAGGGCTAGGAGTTGGGCGGCCTCTATATTTAATAAATCACAGCATCATTAGCTTAGATCAATAGAAGCCCAGAGACCAAAGTCAAAAAACGGGGTTTGGGGTGGAGGGGCTCTACAATCCAGATTTGGGGTGGGGGGGAGGCGACAGTACAGTTGAGCGAACGAGCAGGGAAAAGTGCCCCGGCCTGAGTCAAAATCCCCTTAATTTTTTTTCCAGTGAGGTTGAAGGGCAAAATGGGTTATTGCAGAAGGTGTGAGTGGGAGGGGTACACCCCCCATCCTTTCCCCTTGCCCCTCCCTGTGACTTTGAGAGGGAGGGAGCCGGGGGGTGGGGGTGGGGGAGAGAGGACTATAAAACGGGTTGGAGTCGATGCCAGGCGCTAAATCGCAATTCTTTAAAACGGACCGACCGCAAGGAAGGCGCTTCCCCCCCCCCCCAAGGAAGGGCAAACATCTATCTTAACATCTCAACGTTGGAAAGGATCTGATGACTTCATCAGTCGATCCGATGGCCAGCCAATCCGCGGGGCCAAAAAAGTTGGCTGCCAAAAGTCGCAGTGCAAACCAGAACTTTTATTTTATTTTATTTTATTTTATTTTATTTTATTATTTTTATTTTTATTGTATTGTATTGTATTGTATTGTATTGTATTGTATTTCATTTCATTTCATTTATTTTTTATTTCATTCATTCATTCATTCATTCATTCATTCATTCATTCATTCAATTTATATGCCGCCTTTCTCCGGAGACTCCTCCCCCCCCTTTTCTCCTCTTTCAACATCCAGAAGACTTTTCAAAAAGAGGGTAGCAAAGGGTATCCTATACGGAGTGACCTTGGACGAGGGTGGGGAGGAGTTGGCTCTGAAAACGGGGTCAGATTGTTGATTGTTGATTTTTTTTTTTTTGCTTTAATTTATATGCCGCCCTTCTCCAGAGACTCAGGGCGGCTTACAATGCGTTAAGCAATAGCCTTCATCCTTTTGTATATTTATACAAAGTCAGCTTATTGCCCCCACAATCTGGGTCCTCAATTTTACCTACCTTAGAAAGGATGGAAGGCTGAGTCAACCTTGAGCCTGGCGAGATTCGAACCTGCAGTAATTGCAAGCAGCAGATGTTAATCACAGTGCTTTAATCCACTGTGCTACCAGGCTCAGTTGTTCCCATGATACAGTTCAGACGACCTCCGAACGCAGGTTTTGTATCGAGGGAGGGGGAGGAGGTTCAAAGGAAACCCTCTCGCTTTCCCCCAGTCAATTTCATTCTCTCCCCCCCCTCCTCGTTTTTATATTCATTTCTTACTTAAATCCCCAGCCTTGTACATTTTAAGCGAGGGATGGAGGGGGATACATTCACCCCCAAACTTGGGGGAAGAGACAGTAACAGTAACAGAGTTGGAAGGGACTTTTGGAGGTCATTTAGTCCAACCCCCCTGCCCTGCTTACGCAGGAAACCTATACTAGGGATTCGAACCGCCGAACGGCCGAGCTTTCTGATCGACGAGCTTAGTGTCTTCGCCACTGAGCCACCTAGCCATCACCTCAGCCTCCGGGGCCGAGAAAGGGAAAAGGCAGGGAGGGGAGACAGCCAGACGTCCAAAGTTGGCAGGGGAATTTCCCTTTGGGGAGAGCCTCGGAGAGAGACCAAAGCCAAAATCTCCCTTGGCTTAAATGGGGCGTCTTGTCTCCCCACTGCGGAAGAGGGAGCCTCGCCCCCTTCCCCCCTCTCTCTGGGCTGCGGGGAGTGGGGGGGGGACCAAAAGGAAGAAACGGGTCTTTTCCCCCGCAGGAGTGAAGTTTTGGGAAGAGCAGGTGGAGAAAAAAAGCAGCGAGAAGAGGAAGGAAGGCAGAGAAACTAAGGAAAAATTGCAACCTATAGGATCTGCGGAGGGGGAGAAAAGAGGGCAAAAAATAGGATTCTGCTGTAATTTGGGACTGGGAGGGGGGAGCTTGGTGCAGGAGGAGGAAGGGGCGGAGTGGGGAGGGGGGGCAGACAGGCAAGAGTGGGGGTGGGGGGTCACTTTGGAGCGAAGGGGGCGCCCGGGTGGGTGCGCCAAGCAGTGCCGCAGTCTAGGCTGACTCCAGGCGGTTGGCACTGGGCGGAAAGTGTAGGGCAAAATCCCTCCTGCAGTTTTTCGTAGGATGGGGGGGTTGGGTTGGGTGGGTGCAAGGAGGGGCCAGACTGGCGCAGCGTGACTGGCATCCTTTGCCACCTCTCTCCCTCCCCATCTTTGCAGACACTCCCCCCCCCTAACCCCACCCCCCCCTCTCCCGTCTGCCCAGCTTGGCAAACGCGCCTCTCCTCTCCATTCCTGTATTCGGCCAAGTCTGGAGTGATTTAAAGCGGAAAGAGAGAGGGGGGGGGAGAAGGAAGAAGGGGGAGACCCTGGGGAGTTTGATGCGGCTGCCTGGTAGAAAAGCCGGCTCATTCCCGCCCCCCTTCCCGCCCATCGGCGAGGCTGCGTGCCAACTTCTCCAAATAAAATAAAATAAAATAAATTGTGTTGGGAATCGGCTCCAAAGCGCATGGAGGACGAATGGGAGCGTTGCAGCTCTTTTTGAAGGGAGGGGGGGCAGACTTGGGACCCCCCCCACCACTCCCGGGCTGCCTCTCGACCCGCATCGAACCGGCGTAGCAATGTTTCCCCTCTTTTTAATCTGGGGCGAACGAAATCTGGAATATCCTTTTAATATCCTATCCAAAACCTTCATCACTTAATACCCTGGTAGCTCCCACGCCCCCCCATCTTTGGGGCTGCTAATCCGCATTGACGAAGTTCTCTTGTCTCGTCTCTCCCCCCCCCAATTTCCCGCCCCCCCCCCGGGGAAAAAACCTGCGATGGGGAGGCGCGCGCGCCTGGGAAGAGAAACCCCCGGTGCGCTCAAGGCGCGGGCGCTGTCCAAGGTGCTGCTCCTTTGCCTTGCGATGACTGGGGTTTCCAAACCGAGAACTCCAAGATCCATCAGCCCCAGGCAGGGATCGGAGACCTAAACTCTGATTGGGTTACGGAGTTCTTGGGGGTCTCTGGGCTTGCTTGCAGATGTTTCATTACTAGGTAACATCTGCGAGATGTCTGCAAACAGACTATCCCAAGCTCAGAGAGAGCACCAAGGAGCCACCAGTCCTCCTCCTCCTCCTCCTCTCCACTCCCTTCTTGTGCTGATGATGTTACCTACTAGGGTAATGAAACATCTGCAAGAAAACCACCAAGTTCAGAGAACATCAAGGACCCCCCCCCAGTCCTTTTCCCTTCCTCCTCCTCCTCCTCCTCACTCCCTTCTAATATTGATGATGTTACCTAGTAGGGTAATGGAATGCCTACAAGAAAACCACCAAGTTTAGAGAACATCAAGGACTCCTCCAGTCCTTTTTCCTACCTCCTCCTCCTCCTCCTCTCCACAAACCCCACTCCCTTCTAGCACTGATGATGTTAACTAGTTTGACTTGTGAAAGATCTACACGAACCCCCCCCCCGAGCTCAGAGAACACCAAGGATTCCATAATTCAACCTTGAGCTACCTATGCGATCTTCTATTCAATATTGGATACGTGACTGGAGTCATTCCTGTCCTTAAACTACATTAAACCTCATTAACACGACATTAAACTGCTACCCTTTAACCATGTTTGATTGCCTAAGGCAACATTAGTTGAGTTCACACATGGGACAAACTGTAAAAATATAGATTTGCATTTATCCTGGCTGGATTCACATAGAGCACCCTAAGCCAAAATCAAACAAATTAGAGCATGGCCTATAAATATACCGTAGGACCCCATTAAGTCATATTTTTCAATGCTTTTCTAACTTTGGCCACTAAATGAACTGTTGTTAAGTCGAGGACTATACCTGTATCAAAATATTCCCATTTAAAAAAAAAATCACATTTACATCTTTAACATCCTTTGTTACATTTTTACAGCTTTCCGATACCGGCATCTTTGATAATATCTATTTTATCTTTTAACCAACTATATACACATACATTTTATATATTACTTACTGATTTCTATATTCACTACAACTTCTACCTATCTATTACAAAATAACTATTTTGTTCGTCTCTAATATCTTCTCTTACGTTTATACGTTTATACGTTAATTTTGGATTCTTTCTCCAACCAGTTTATACCATCTATTCCACGTCTCGTAAGAAATCGTTTCCTCTCAGTCTTTTAATTCCATTCTTAATTTATCTGCTTCTGCACATTCTAGCACCTTTTTTGCGATCATCGTATTTGATGGAGCAAATCTGTGCTTCCAATTTTGTGCAAATGAAATTCTGGCGGGCCGTAATTATATGACATATAAGGTAATAAATTTTTCCTAATTTTCTCTTTTATAATCCCCAACAAAAATAGTTCGGGTTTCATAGCAATATTCCCATTTTATTTTCCTGCTGTCAATAGAGAAGTAATTTGGCCTACTTTTCCTCTGGGTTTTTTTTCTTGTAATCTTCCATCAAACTTCTGTTTCAAAAAAAAAAAACCCCAGCCAGCCTTGTCTAGATGTCTCCATCAGCTGCTATAAATAAAAAGCGCCAGCATCTGGAATGATCTGCAAATTCTATATGCAAGCTGCTTTTTTAGCACCGCCTATCATCTGGGTTTTGCAAACTCACTTAGACAGGCAAGGAAGATAAAGAGCGGAAGCTAATACGGGTCTGAATTTTAAAAAAGCAGCGTTCTTGTTGCAGTTCGCAGTTAAGTATCTTTTTTCCATTCTGGTGTTTTAATAGCATCTTTCAGCCACGTAGAAATAGGAAAGAAATGAATGTCGTTCTCGGGAAGCTCGAGTTCCTGCAGTGATTTTTCAGTTTTGACCAACTGCAGTGGAATTGTGTTTGCATAACACCCTGTGTTCCAACACACACACACTGTTTTGTGGTTCAGCGTGATGCCGGTTTTGCACCATACGGTATGTAAAGACAGCTGTTAAACCCCACAAACACCCATCCTAGTCTAGCATGCTAGGAAAATCTTGCTACGTCATGGCTTCCTTCTAGATTGAAACTCTTCTTCTGCATTTGCTGAGTCAGACTGCAAAGTGATTTCTCACAGGAAGAATCCAGCTTGGGAGAATCCGCCTCCGGATTCCAGGAGAGATTTCCCCCCCCCTCTCTCCATTAAGCCCCACAAAATAACATAACATTTAAACCACCCATTTCCTCCCATCCCCTGTGTCGTCATAAGAATATATTTTAGTTTGCATATTTAAATATATTTAAATATATTTTAGAATATATTTTAGGGGCTCTGCTGTGCTCCTGAAAATTGCTCCGTTGCTAGACAACGTCATATTGAATCTGCTTTTATTTATTTATTATTTTTTTTCCAAATCATTTTTTATTTAAAAAAAAAAAGAAAAAAGAAAAAGAGCCTTGATAGTACAGTGGTTTAATGCACCCTGTTATTAACACAGCTGCCTGCAATTTCTGCTGGTTCGAATCTCTCCAAGGCTCAAGGTTGACTCAGCCTTCCATCCTTTCTAAGGTAGGTGAAATGAGGACCCAGTTTGTGGGGGCAATAAGCTGACTTTGTATAAAATATACAAAAGAATGAAGGCTATTGCTTAACGCATTGTAAGCCGCCCTGAGTCTCCGGAGAAGGGCGGCATATAAATCAAATTTTAAAAAAAGAAAAGAAAAGAAAACATACAAACATCATTCATTCAATCAAGTACAGACAGTACATCGGTCGGTTTGCATTCCTAGTGCCCTCTCCTCTCTTCACAATATCACTACATATCCAAAATTTAATTCTTATATAAAATATATCAGTTGTATCATCATTTAAAGTATTTCAACGTTTACTTACATATCACCATTTTTTATTATCTACCCAATGGTAAAATAAATCCCATATCAAATGATATTGTTTTTCTTCCTGCTCTCTTCTTTCAAATGTCAGCTTACTCATTTTGGCACAGTCCAACATTTTCCTAATAATTTCTTCATCCGTAGGTATCGTTTCTTTCCAATTTTTAGCAAATACAATTTGAATCTGCTTTTATTGAAGTCTAAGGCAAGGGCATCCAGCCTTGGCAACTTTTAAGACTGGTGGACTTCAATTCCCAGAATCCCCCAGCCATCCTGTTTCTAGGAATTGAAGTCCATCAGTTTTAAAGTTGCCAAGAAGCTCTAAGGGTTTTTCTCCTATGGAAATGAAGCAATAAAGGCAGATCCATTGCTACTGCCTTTTTAAAAAAATCTACTTCTGATCTTCCCACCCCTTTGACTGCTAATTGTAGCCGAGAGAAATTTTTCAAGGTTAATTTGTTTTTTTTTAAAAAGTGCATTAGTTATCAGTGTATAGATACTCCTCGACTTAATGACCACAATCGAGGCCAAAATATCGGTTGCTAAGGGAAACATTTGCCACCTGAGTTTGCCCCATTTTATCACTTTTCTTGCCATCGTTGTTAAGGGAATCACTGCAATTGTGAAGTTAGTCGCATGACATTGGAACACAGCAGCAGTCGTAAATACGAAGCAGTGGCCAAGCATCTGAATTTCGATCGTGTTTTTATTCTGTCAACATTACGAGAAGTCGTTCTTAATAAACCCAGGTTTTCCCACAACGTCTTGTGAATGGGTGATTCCTTGGCCTTCAGAGATGGTGGGTCCCCCAATATTGGATGATTTTAAGAAGAGATTGGACAGCCATTGGTCTGAAATGGGGTAGGGTTTCCTGCCTGAGGACGGGGTTGGACTAGAAGACCTCCAAGGTCCCTTCCAACTTTGTCGTTCGATTGTCGCCCAACAATTGTATGTTGTAAAGCGGAGCTTCAGTACCCACACTATAAAAAAGATGTTGAGACTCTAGAAAGGGTGCAGAGAAGAGCAACCAGGATGATGAGGGGACTGTGGGCTAAAACGTACGATGAACGGTTGCAGGAACTGGGCATGGCTGGTCTAGTGAAGAGAAGGACCAGGGGAGACAGGATAGGAGTCTTCCAATATTTGAGGGGCTGCCACAGAGAGGAGGAAGGGGATCAAGCTATTTTCCAAAGCATCCGAAGGCCAGACAAGGAATAAGGGATGGAAACTGATCAAGGAGAGATTCAACCTAGAAATAAGGGAGAAATTTTCTGATAGAGAGAACAATCGGCCAATGGAACAGAAGTTGCCTTCAGGAGTTGTGGGAGCTTCATCCCTGGAGGCTTTCAAGAAGAGACTGGACTGCCATCTGTCAGAAATGGTGTAGGGTCTGCTTGGGCAGGGGGTTGGATTAGATGACCTACAAGGTCCCTTCCAACTCTGTTTATTTATTTATTTATTTATTTTGTCGCATTTCTATGCCGTCCAACTCCCAAGGGACTCTGTTAATTTGTATCTGTAATCGACGTCAACTCACGTTTCCCAGAATCTCAATGGCTTTTCTCTCTTCCCCGACTCCGTTCTGTAGTGAGGCTGGACAAGCTCTCCGAAGCTGCCAGGGTGAACACGGATGCCATCCGTAATGCCCAAGACGAGCTGTCGGAATACCGTAGGCAGCTGCAATCCAAAACGACGGAGCTGGAAACTCTCCGCGGGATGAAGGAATCCTTGGAGAGGCAGAGGCTGGACATGGAAGATCGCCACCATTTGGATGTCCAGTCGTATCAGGTAAGACGCGGCAAAGGTTGGTGGACCAAAGGTGCTTTTTTCCAAGAGGCCACTGGACTTTCTTGCTCTTTCTTTGAAGACGTTTCACTTCTCATCCGAGAAGCTTCTTCAGTTCTGACTGGATGGTGGGGAACGGAAGCATTGATACTCCTTGCAGACAGAACTGGTCATTTGCATCCTTTTTAGAGATCGCAGAGGCCACTTGGAGGTTTGTCTGTGTCTTCAGGATCAAAGAGGGCTGTTCAATTTGGACAGCCCTCTCTCAACAGAGGGGGAGGGATACAAGATTATCTATCTCCAGTCTACAACACGGTCCTTTCAGCAGTTCCAAGAAGGCTCCACATCTGTTTGTACCACTCAGGTGACCCTGAGGACACAGATAAACCTTCAAGTGGCCTCAAGGACTCTCTAAAAAGGATGCAAATGACCAGCTGTCTGCAAGGAGTATAATCCTTCTGTTCTCCACCATCTGGCCAGAGCTGAAGAAGCTTCTTGGATGAGAAGCGACTTTCTGACAATTCACTTTTTCCCACAATGCCAATTCAAAACTCAGCTTTTTTTTTTTAACAACAACAAGGATCTTTCAAATAATTAGTAGAAAGAGCAACGGTCTACCTCTTAATTTGGTTCGTTTCCATTTGGTTCCATTTCTACAGATTTAAACTGGTCCGTTTCCACCTTATTCGTTTGGTCCGTTTCCAAACCACTTTTTTTTATTAAAAAAAATTGCCTGTTGTGACTTGGAATGGTCACTCGACAAACTTTGCTTAAGTTGAGGACTTGCCTGGGTGTTTTGTGGGCTCGCCTTCCTTTTTTAGCGCACAAGTTGCTCACGGCAAATTTGTGTCTTTTCCCCCTAGGATACGATTGGACAGCTGGACAATGAGCTCAGGAATACCAAGTGGGAAATGGCTGCCCAGATCAGAGAATACCAAGATCTGCTGAACGTCAAAATGGCTCTGGATATCGAGATTGCTGCCTACAGGTACACGGGGCCTTGATCTCAGGAAGTGTTCGGACTTAGGCTTCCTGAGACAGTAAAAAGCACACAATTAGTCCTAAAAACCCTCTTTTTATTTCAACGGCGATGAATTCTGTTCATTCACAGCCCAGGATGAGTCGCAAAGAGTTGTAAAGAGTCCGACAGAAGTCTGCCACAGTCCTTTGGGATAAGGCTGATAAGCACCCGCCTTTATCTCCCTTGACGCGCTGCCAAAGACCTAATTGGCAATTAGCTTTGCAAGGCCAAAACGGAGCTTCAGAATTTAAACCGAGCAGCACGAACAAAGTTGCTTCCTGCAAAGGCTCATGTGCCTTTGCTCCTCCTTTATGTCTTATTGGAGGGGCCAGTCATCTCCAAGCCTTTCTCCCTAGTCACCCCTATTGTCTTAACTGTTCTTGCCTTCTGGCAGCTCTGCGCATGTGCGCACTGGGTACAGACTCCCCATTCCTCCACCTCGCTGACGTCAGTGTCAGCGTTCCAAATTAGGCTCTTTTCCAGCGCTGACATGATTGGAACGAATGAAAGAGAAGAAGCGTTGATTTATTGCTGAGATGAACTTTTACCTAGTTTTCTGCAGACAGCTGATAGTGTTACCTGGGTGATGGAGGGAGGGGGGCAAATTCCTGTGGAAGAACGTGCTGGGACGAAGAGATGGATCTGCATGATGGCCAATGGGACATTGGGGTTGGAGAGCGGAAGGGGAGGGTGTTGGAAGGAGGGGCCAGTTTGGATGGATCTGCATGATGGCCAATGGGACATTGGGGTTGGAGAGCGGAAGGGGAGGGTGTTGGAAGGAGGGGCCAGTTTGGCTGCAAAAGAGTTCAGAAATGTCATTCTCTATTCTTAATAATAATAAAAAAGATTCATTAGAGACTTTGCGTTTGAAAATGAAGTTTATTTAAGATAGCAACGAAACCTGACAGTCAGACTCTGGAGGCTCCGGAGTCAGCACATAACTCCCAGATGGCCCTGGCCCCATCTTTGCCTCTGATGCAGAGCCCCCGTGCTTTGGAAAATAAGTTGACAGCCTCCTCTTTGTGGCAGCCCCTCAAATACTGGCATATTGCAATCATGCCCCCCCCTCCCCAGCCCTTCTTTTCTCTAGACTGGCCATGCCCAAATCCTGCAACCAGGCCTTTGATCCTCTTAGTTGCTCTTCTCTGCAACTTTTTCCAAAGTCTCAACCTCTTGGTAAGGTGGTGACCAAAACTGGATGCGGTGGGGCCTTACTAAGGGTTTTATAAAGCGGTACTAAGACTTCACGTAATTTTGATTTGATGCCTGGAGCAACGGTTTTTCATTTTTTCCCCCTACTCTCTCTCTCTCTCTTTTGGAAAACAGGAAGCTGCTGGAAGGAGAGGAGTGCCACTTTGGCAGCGGGATGGGGATTTTCCCGTTCCCCGAAATCGCCCCCAAGACCCCCAGCATCCCCACTCACATCAAAGTCAAAAGCGGGGAGAAAATTAAAGTGGTGGAGAAATCAGAAAAGGAGACGGTGATCGTCGAAGAGCAGACGGAGGAAGTGCAAGTGACTGAAGAAGTGACGGAGGAAGAAGTGGGTGAGAAAGAAGAGGAGGAGGAAGCAGAAAAAGAGGAGGAGGAGGAAGAAGAGGAGGAGGAAGCAAAAGAGGAAAAAGAAGAAGAGGAGGAAGTGGAAGAGGAAAAAGAAGAGGAAGAGGAAAGCCAGGAAGAAAAGAAAGGAGGAGAAGAAAGTGAAGAAGCTGGAACAGGGAAAGAGGAGGAGACTCCGTTGCCAGAAAAGAAGTCCACCTTGAAAGAAGAGGAGGCCAAATCACCTGAGAAGGTTAAATCTCCCACAAAAGATGAAGCCAAGTCCCCTGCCAAAGTCCCATCTCCAACAAAAGAAGAAAGTAAACCTCCAGCCAAGGTGGTGTCACCAACCAAGGAATTGTTGAAAGTCCCAGGCGCGAAACCAGTAGAAGAAGCAACTTCTCCTGTCAAAGAAGAGAGCAAATCTCCAGCAAAACCTGGAACTCCCGCCAAGGAAGAAAGCCGGACTCCAGAAAAGCTGAAATCTCCAACAAAAGAGGCAGAGAAACCTCCAGCGGTGAAGGTCCCAGAGAAGGTGGCTTCCCCAACAAAGGAAGACCTCAAATCTCCAGCAAAACCTGGATCTCCCGCCAAGGAAGAAAGCCAGACTCCAGAAAAGGTGAAATCTCCAACGAAAGAGGCAGAGAAACCTCCAGTGTTGAAAGTCCCAGAGAAGGTGGCTACCCCAACAAAGGAAGACCTCAAATCTCCAGCAAAACCTGGATCTCCTGCCAAGGAAGAAAGGCAGACTCCAGAAAAACCAAAAACTCCAACAAAGGAGGCAGAAAAACCTCCAGCGGTGAAGGTCCCAGAGAAGGTCGCTTCCCCAACCAAAGAAGACCTCAAACCTCCAGAAAAGCTCAAGCTTCCCCCCAAAGAGGAAGCTAAAACTCCAGAGAAGGCCAAGACACCCATCAAGGAAAAGGCCCAATCTCCAGAGAAGGTCAAGACGCCCGTCAAGGAGAAAGCTAAATCTCCAGAAAAAGACACAGCACCCCAGAAGGCACCAGAGAAAGAAGCAGATGCACCCGCCAAGCCCGTGGCGGAGAAGAAACCGAGCAAGAAAGAAGAGGAGGCCAAGCCTGAAATCCCAACCAAGGATGCTCCAAAGCCAGAAGCCAAGGAGAAGGAGAAGAAGACCGAAGACCAAGGGGACAAGAAACAAAGCCCCAAGGCCAAGTCACCTACCCTTGATGGGGAAAAGGCACCTGCTGCTCCCAAGGCTGAGGACACCAAGGAGAAGGAGGCCACCAAGCCGCCATCCAAACCAGAATCGGGGAAAGAGGCGGAGAAAGGAACCAAGGCGCCGGTGCCAAAATCTCCAACCGAACAACCCAAAGCCAAGAGCCCAAGCCCACCGGCCAAGAAGGAAGCGGAGAAGGCCAAGGCCGAAGAGAAGAAAGAAGAACCAAAGAAGGAGAAAGCTGAGCCCAAAAAGGAGGAGGAGAAACCCAAAGCAGCAGAGAAACCCAAAGAAGACGCCAAGAAGACGTTGAGCCCCAAAGAGTCGCCCACATCGAAAGAACCCCCCAAGACGGAAAAAGCAGAGAAGTCCTCTGGGATGGACCCCAAAGACAGTAAATCCGCCGAAAAAGAAGAAAAGGCCAAGAAATGATCAGAAGATCTTGGAGGTGCTTCAGGGGGCACCTAACGACTTGGACGACCACCGATCTCAGGACGGCTAAGTTTGGGGTGAGGTCCCCTCCTCCCCACCCACCCCCGCGAGGAGTCTGGGAATGCATGTTTGCAACACGTCGATCCCAGAGGAAGAAATCAACCCAGCTAAGCCACGATCGATCTGAGATAACTCGGTGGGGTGGGGGGGGAAACCCGAAACGAAACCAAACCAAGCTGGTTCCAATATATTATTGACAGCTTTCGTAGCCGAATGTGATATATGCAGAATGCCATTTAAGCACTTGAATTATTCAATGGGGAGGGAGGGAGGGAGGGAGGGAAGGAAGGAGGGAGGGAAGAAGGGAAAGAAGAAAACACACACACACACACACACACACAGGGCAATATTTGACTGCCCTTCTCAGATAAGTGCATTTATTTCCCAAAGACGGGCAAAGGGATAACACACGCAATAAATCTCGAATGTCGAACGCAGCAAGAGCTGGAAATTCTGCTCCGCAGAGATGACCCAGGCGAGGAAAATCCTCTAAAAATGATGCTTTTTAAAGATGCCTTCTTCTTCTTCTTTTTTTTTTTTTTGCTCAATGTGCGTTGCTTGGGGGGGGCATGAATGTGGACGGTAGGCCTTAATCCAGTTCTTGGTTCTCTCAGGAGGGGGGTCCATAGGGGGTCAACGCCGGTGGGAGGAGAGGAGGGGGGGAGCTTGCCCCCTCCGTTCAGCCCCACCGCTGTCTCAAAGGGGGCCTCCCCACGTGCTAGCTTTTGCCCCAGAGTTCAGAGAATTTGAGACGGAGGGTCGTTTTTAAATCCCCTCGTCCAAACTCTCCCGGCTCTTTTGCGGCGGGGCAGCGATCCCCAAAATCCTCATGAGGAGGAGGGGTGGGAGGGGAAAAAATGGTTGTAGTTTTGTAGCGTCCGACACTGCGTGAGGGTGCATATTCCCAGACACCCACCCACGCAAAAAGTGCATTACGCCACCTCAAACGTAACTTCACCTCCTGTTGCTTCTGTGCAATTAAAACCGCCAATTAAAAGAAAAATACGCTTACGATACCGTTGACTTCCCGTCTCTTGGTTTTCCGTGTTATGGGGTGGGGCAGGGGTGAAATTCAAAATTTTTCCCTACCGGTTCTGTGGGTGTGGCTTGGTGGGTGTGGCAGGGGAAGGATACTGCAAAATCTCCATTCCCACCCCGCTCTGGGGCCAGCCAGAGGTGATATTTGCCGGTTCTCTGAACTACTCAAAATTTCCGCTATTGGTTCCCGAACTACTCAAAATTTCCGCTACCGGTTCTCCGAACCACTCAAAATTTCCCCTACCGGTTCTCCGAACTACTCAAAATTTCCGCTACCAGTTCTCCGAACTACTCAAAATTTCCGCTACGGTTCTCTGAACTACTCAAATTTTCCGCTACGGTTCTCCGAACTACTCAAAATTTCCCCTACCGGTTCTCCGAACTACTCAAAATTTCCCCTACCGGTTCTCCAAACTATTCAAAATTTCCCCTACTGGTTCTCCAGAACCTGTTAGAACCTGCTGGATTTCACCCCTGGGGCGGGGGGAGTAAACAAGAACGTTTTAGATGGAGCCGAGCAGGAATAACAGAGGTACAAGGTTTTTCACACCGAGGTTTTCGCCTTAAATTGAAGGAGCAAATTATTTGCCGTGGCAAAAATCCTTGCAGAGTTTTAGGAATTGGCCGTTGCCCCAGCTGCAGACACGAGAGTTCAAAGGAAATACAAAGCAAAGCCAAGCCTAACCCTTGACTTATGACAACGGAGCCCAGAATTTACGTTAAGTGAGAAATTTTGCAGAATTCCCCCCCCCCCCGTTTTATGACTTTTCACTGCAGTGGGTTAAATTAGGAACACGGTGGTTAAGCGAATCATGGTTTCCCCAGGGACCCGGCTTGTCAGGAGGTCGCAAAAGAGGACCACGTGATTCCCCTTGGGACGCTGCGACGGTCATAAATGTGAGTTGTCAGGCACTCAAAGGTAAACCTCGGGGGATTGTTACAACGGTTGTTTTAAGTGTAAAAAAACGGTCGTAAGTCACTTTTTTCAGTGATGTAACTTTGAACGGTTACTAAATGAACTGTTGTTAAGTCAAGGACGAGCTGTACTTAAAATCTCGGTCATTTTACAAAGCCAAGGATAACATCAGTCCGGTCTATAGGGAGTCCTTGACTTATAACTATCCACTTAGGGCAGCAGCTGCCAATCTGATGGGCCCTTTTACTTCTCGTCTGCCCTCCGGTGCTTTGGAGACCAAGTCAACTCCCTCTTCTCTGAAAAAGCCCCTCCAATTGGGTTCAAAATCTATGTTTAGATTCTAATTACTGAAGAACATCAGGGACGCGGTGGCTGAGTGGCTAAGATGCTGAGCTCATCGATCGAAAGGCCGGCAGTTTGGCGGTTCGAATCCCTGGTGCCGCATAGCGGGGTGAGCTCCCGTGACTTGTCCCGGCTTCTGCCAACCTAGCAGTTCGAAAGCAGGTAAAAAATGCAAGTAGAAAAATAGGGACCACCTTTGGTGGGAAGGGAACAGCGTTCCGTGCACCTTTGGCGTTGAGTCATGCCGGCCACATGACCACGGAGACGTCTTCGGACAGTGCTGGCTCTTCGGCTTTGAAACGGAGAGCACCCCCCCCTAGAATCGAGAACGACTAGCACATACGTGCGAGGGGAACCTTCACCTTTACCTGAAGAACAGGGTTGAAAGCATGGAGGTCTTTTAGGCCACGCCCCCCTCCTGCCCTGCCCAAGGAACCATTCTGGAGAAATGGCCATCCAGTCTCTTCTTGAAGGTCTCCAGTGATGGGAGCGAGCGCCGACAATATCTGGGAGCAATGCAAAATGACGCTCTGGTCTCCAGCCTCTTTGCTACCGGATGAACATTTTCCCTAAACCGGCTGATTTTCCCCTTTTAGTATTCCAGGTTTCCACCCCCACCCCCCTTTCCGCTGACTAGAGGTAGAGTAGGGTAAACCATTCACCCCAAAGTGATTTGGGCGGATTCCTCCAACCTCTTCTCCTTCGCAAGCTTCGCCACTCCTTCCTGCAGAAGCCGAAATAAAAGCCGGCTGAAGGCTAAAAATAGTCCGTTAACAGCAGCTGCAATGCAGCCTAGGTGCCTTCCTGTAAGCTGGGGAGCATCCAGCCGGCTTAACAGAAAAGGAAGCCCAAAATAAATAAAAAGGAGGGAGTCAAGCTATTCTCCAAAGCACCTGAAGGCAGGATAAGAAGCAACGGAGGGAAACTAATCCAGGAGAGAAGCAACCTGGAATTAAGGAGAAACTTCGTTAAGAGTGAAGACAATTAACCAGTGGAACAGCTGGCCACCAGAAGTTATGGGTGCTCCATCACTGGAGGTTTTAAAGAAGAGGTTGGACAACCAATTGTCTGAAATGATATAGAGTCTCCTGCTTGAGAAGAGGGCTGGACTAGAAGACCTCCAAGGTCCCTTCCAGCTTTGTTCCGATACCAAATCTTGATGCTGGGGATGGAGACGGCCAGTTTCTCTCTCCCCCCTCACCCCGACAGTCTCCCTCACCCCGACCCCTTTGCAATTCCATCACATTCTCTTGGAGGAGGTGATATCCAGTTTGGAGCAGATTCTGCAATCCTGCACATTTGTTGGGAGTTGCCAAATTTCCCTCCTGGCTGCAGTTTTCATCTGCTTTGTTAAAAACTCTGCATTTTTTCTGGCTTGGGGACTGTTCTGACCTAGGCTTCCCCAAACCACGAAGCAGACTCCTTGTCCCGACAAAAAAAACCCTTTTTATTTAGTGACTGTGAATTCTTCTCAGTCACATCCAGCCAAGTCTTTCAAGGGAGAATTGACAGTCACAGACCTTATCTGGCTTGGAGATCTGCCAGGCCGATATCTTCAAAACTTGGCAAGGAGTCACGAACCAATTAAGTGAACTAATTATCTCCTGCAAACTCCACTCCCCTTTCGCTCCTTTTTTATTCCCTCTGGGAGGGGCCATTCACCGTCCACCTGTGGCTTTACTCCTGAGTCGACCCTTGTTCTTTAGCTGTTCCCTTCGATTGGCAGCTCTGTGCATGCGCACACTGGGAACAGGCTCCAGCTATTCTTCTGCCCCACTGATGTCCGACTACGAAGGCAGCTGACAACTGTTAGACGGCCCTGGCCCTCTCTCTGCCTTCGATGCAGAGCCTTCATCAGAGCCTTCCCCAGACTCCAGGACTGGCCCGTGTTCCTCCCCAACCTCCTCACTGTCCGAGTCTGCCACTAACGCCTGCATGAAAACCGCCAAGCTCAGAAAGCACCGAGGACCCCCACCCCACCCCCCCACACACAGTTCAACCCCCAGCTACAAATATCCTCCTTTATTGGTTCAAAATATTTAATACGTAAGGACTTCAAATGTACCCTTTACTCAATTTTAATGCCTTCGGAACGATTTCCACAAGAGATGGGAGGAATGGCTGCTTGGCTTCTCTTCTCCAGCGTGGCTTCAGCAGGACGAAGCTGAAATCCATCAGAAATGCATCAGTTCCAGACCCCAAAATAATTCCCTTCGCTTGGGAAGCGTGGCCTAGTGGGACTCGCAGCTGCTGCTGCTGGGCTCAGCGATGGCTGAAGAAGCCTTGAGGATGGTTGTATTTGAAGGGTTTCAACCGGCTGGGCCCCCTAGGGAAGAAGGGAGATTTCAAAAGGGAGGGTCGCAGGACCCTAAGAATAAACGCTCTGTATGGCCCTCGCGCACCGTCCCCACAGATTTAAGAAGTTACATTTGTAAAACGACCGATTTCATCTTTGCAAGCCGCCCAGAGTCTCCTCTGGACGAGACGGACAGCGTACGGGTCAAACAATGATTTCCCCCATTGATCGAAGACCCACAGACTAACAAGAGCTGCAAGCAAGCCAGGAGAAACAGAAGGTATTTTAAGTCCGGGAAAAGCATCAACGCAAGCCACCTTTCACGCGTTATAAAACAACAAAACGACGAGATCATGTATTGGCATCTCTGCCGTTAATAGTTTCTGGACTATTAAGTCTGGAAATCTCAATTCATGTTAAACCCTAAGCTTCTAGTCCTCATGATTCGCCTCGCCGTGGCCCCTTTCGCCGCAGGACAATTCAACGAGGGGTAACTTTGTGTTCCTTTAGGTTCGAGCCTTCTCAAATTAGAAGTGGGGCGGTAGCGTACTTCAGCGGTTAAGACGCTGGCTTTGTCAGCTGGAAAGCCGGCAGCCAGGGTTCGAGACCCGAGCGCCGCGTGATGGGGTGAGCTCCCGTCCTCGCTCCAGCTCCTGCCCACTTAGCAGTTCGAAAGCATGCAAAGGCGAGTAGATCAATAGGTACCACATCGGCGTGAAAGTAAGAACGCTCTGCGATGTCACGCTGGCCACATGACTGCGGAAATGTCTTCGGACAGCGCTGACTCAACGGCCGCGAAACGGAGATGAGCAGCGCCCCCTAGAGTTGGCAATGACTAGTGGAGTCAAATCTGCAGGGACTTCTTTTATCTTATTTTTTTTGCCAAGTTAGAAGTCCTTGAGGTTGGGGTGAGCTGCAATTCCTCTCTCGAGTTACCCCTTAATTCTCTTGAGTAATCTTGAGTTGAATCCAGGAGTGGGCTGCTGGGGGTTCGGGAGAATCTCTAGCTAAGATTCTGTGCAGTTTGGAGAACCTCCAAATCCCACTACTGGCTGTCCCCACCCCGTCCCTCCCAGGAGTCCCGACGTGGCCCATTTTGGGTGCAGGTAAGTGCAGGGTGCACACGGAGGCTCGGGGAGGGCGAAAAATTTATTTATAATTTATTTATTTATAATTAGATTTATATGCCGCCCTTCTCCGGAGACTCAGGGCGGCTTACAATGGGTTAAGCAATAGCCTTCATACTTTTGTATATTTTATACAAAGTCAGCTTATTGCCCCCACAAACTGGGTCCTCAATTTACCTACCTTAGAAAGGATGGAAGGCTGAGTCAACCTTGGGCCTACCAGAAGTTCGGGAGCCTGGGGAGGCAGTTTTCGCCCTCCTGGATGCTCGAGGAAAGCCTCCAGAGTCCGGGGAGGGCTAAAACACCACCCCCCGTCGTGCAGGAGGCCAACTAGGCCACACCCACTGTTAGGATACGGTTTGAGCCTAACAAGTTGTCCAGGCAATATAAATGTACTGTAACTTTAATCTGTAAATGTATTATGTGACTTTAAAGTTTTACTGCTGAATCATTATAATGCTGAGTCATGCTGTAATTAGATAATCGTTGGTTGCGAACGTATTTAAGCAAGGTATTGTAACGTGTTCACTTGCTGAGGTGATATCCTACCATTGTGTGATGATATGCTACCATTGAGAGGAGTTGCTATCTGTAATCATCGTTCGATGGATCTGCTACCATCGTGGTTTGTGAACCAGAGTGAGTTTGTTATTCTAACCAACTACTGTCTGTTTGGTAAGAAGATATCTGCAACTACTGGATTGATTTAACTGGCAAAGACTTGGAATTTGTTTCAAGACTATGAGACTGTTTTTTCTACTATAAAGTAAGCTTTTGATAAACCAGTTTGCATATCTCTTATTCATTGCTCTCGGCAACGTTTCTTTGTGCATTTACTCTGCTGGTTGGTAACACAACACCAATATCCTTAACACCCACCATGGCCCGCCCACCCAGCAACCAGGCAGAGAACCCCTTGCTAAAATTTTGGGAAGTCCACCCCCGGTTGAATCGTCATGCAGCGAGTTACCCGCCGCAAGATAGCTAGGGAGAGTCGCCCCATTCCGTTCTGCCAGATTTCCCTGGCTCCCGAAACGGCTTACCTGGCCAAGCGCAGGCACATTTTCTCCTGGGGAAATTCCTTAGGCCCCTCCACGCTGTTGTCGTGCGTCTCCGTCTCCAGGTACACATCCAGGACAACGCAAAGGCGTTGCAACTGGTTGGTGAGGAGTTGGTAGCCCGGCTTGGGGCCGCTGAGTTCTTTGTAACAGACGTTGACCTCACTCTCCATGGCCTAAAAAGCAAAGAAGGGGGGAAGCACGAAGGAGAGGCTGAAAAACAAACCCTTTGACCTTCCAAATCTGTGCTTCTCAGCCTAGGAAACTTTTTTTTCCCCCCAAAAAAAGGTTTTTTTTATTTTTATTTCTCATAAACACATTTACCTGTACAATCATTTCCATCATTTTTCATTCATCTTTTCTTTTAACTTTCATTTTTCATTTTTACTTTTCCGGGGCTGCTCTTTTACCCTTTACCTTTACTCTAACCTTTCTTCTCCTTCTCCCCTTCTCTTCCTTCCTCTCTCTTCTTCTACTTCCTTTGTTCTTCCTCTCCTTCTCTTTCCTACTTCCCCTTCCCTTCCCCCACTCCTCTCTTCTTCTCCCCCTTCTAGCCTTCTCCTCTGCTCCTCTTTCCCCTCCCTTTTCTTCCTCTCCTTTTCCCTTTCTTCTTTCTCTCCCTCTCCTCTCCTCTTTCCTCCCTTCCTCTCTCTCTACTCCTTCCCCTCTCTCTTGTTGTTTCCCTTTTCAGTTCAATCTAAAGTGGTATTCGAGCAGCCCCAATTTTCTAATTATCTTTATTCTCATTTCAATTTCTTATTCGATTAATATTTATTTTTATTTCATCATTTGTGTACATTTTTACAATATCTCATTTCCCCCCCCCCCTTTTTCCCACTCCCCTTTCTCATTTTACTTGGCACCATCTGGGTATCTATTTTTTAAATTGTTTTTGTCACTGCGTTTTTTTGTATTTGCCAGCTGTGCTTGAACTCTAAGACTTTCCGTAGCTGATCAGAACTCTTATCTCTAAGCTAACTGCGCATGTCCACATTCTTTCTTCCACATTCTTTCACTTTCTTCTAACTTTCTTTGTCCGCCTGCCAAAAAGTACAGCAGGAACGCTGCCAAGATGTAATTAATTGGCTAGTAAGATGTTTTTACTTTCTTTATAATAAAATGTGTTTCTTAGAATATATCTCTGGTTTATTTTCTTAAGGTATACTTGCAAGGAAAGGCCACGATCCATTCTCTAATCAACGTGCAATTACCCAAAAGCAGAATGGGATTAATTGCCACCCTGACAGTTTTCTCCCATCTGTTCTCTATCTATTTTATCTCTACACCCTTATTCATATTTCCTTTCTAACCAATCAGAATGTCTCGAAATACACCGACTCCTCTTTATCTTTTATTCTCGGAAACTTTTGTGTGGACTACAACTCCCAGAATCCCCCAGCCCCGTTCCCGTCTCAGACCTACCCGAATGTTGTCATCGTTGGTGTTGGTTTTCTCTCCTTTCCAGTTCAAGCACAGGCTGAAGACGGGCGGGATGGAGGAATAGCCGGGGTTCAAAACCACGGCGACCTGGAGCTTGGCTGCGGCCGAGATGGAAGCAAGAAGACGGTTTAGCAAGGATACCTCTTCTGACACGCAACCACACTTTCCATCACAAACAAACATCTCCGATCCCAAAGCTCCAAGGACCGGAAGTTGGCAAACAGGCCGTTTTCGGCCTCCAGAGGATCTCCGGGGAGGCTGTTTTGGTCCTCCCAAGGCTCCTAGAAAGGCTCTGGAGCACGAGGAGAGCAAAAAACAGGCCTTCCCCACCCCCACCAGGCCCTCCGGAGGTAGGAAACAGCCTGTTTCCCTATTGCAGGTGGGCCCAGAAGGCCCGAAAATCATGCGCACGCTGGAGCTGAGCTTGCGTGCCCACCAATATGGCTACGCATGCCACCTGCCCCTATCATGGTCCCAGGAACTCTATAAAATACACTCAGGATCTCAGCTCGGCCCCCTCTTAAGACAGCTGGCAAATGGGCTGTTGGGTTTCTAAACAAAGTATAGGTGGACCTCAATTTAGGACCACAGCGGAGCCCAAAATTTATGTCGTTAAATGACAATTGCCCCATTTTACGACATTTCGTGCTAAGTGAACCACTGCAATGGTTAAGTTATGGTAGTAAGCAATAGCCCTTAGACTTATATACCGCTTCACAGCGCTTTCCAGCCCCTCTCTAAGCGGTTTACAGAGTCGGCCTCTTGCTCCTAACAATCTGGATCCTCATTTTTCCCACCTCGGAAGGACGGAAGGCTGAGTCAACCTTGAGCCTGGTGAGATTCGAACTGCCAAATTGCAGGCAGCCAGCAGTCAGCAGAAGTCGCCTGCAGTACTGCACTCTAATCACTGCGCCACCGCGGCTCACATTCACTGTTAAAAGTGAATCCGGCTTCCTCATTGACTTTGCTTGTCAGACGGTCGCAGAAGCGGATCACGTTCTGCGTAGTTTGGGTTTTCCGTCTGGTCTACCCCTGAGGGCTGATGTGAATCTCGCTTTGGCCTCAAGATTTTATTCCTCTGTTCTCTCGCCTGCGTCTCTTCCTTCTGCCTCCCAAGTTGCTTCTCGCAGCCCATTACAGAATCCAGTTTCAGCTTCATAAGGATCAAACTGGGGACCCCCAAGTTCTACTGCTGAAGATCAGGGTCTCCAGAGGAACGACCACTGCAGCCCACTCCCCACCTTAGCAACTGTGCTTTGTGGTGTATCTTCCCTTGCTGCACTGGGGATGAAACAATCTGCTTTCTTAATAGTAGTAACAACTATTAGGCATCTTCTCAACCTCTCAGTGTGGGGAAGAGGAACCCACAGGAGAAAAGACGCAAGCTCACCGGTGCCTCTTTCGATCAGGGCCAAGTAATAGAGGTGAGTATCTTCGGCCAAACCGGACTCAACCACGTCTTTAGTGTAAGGCAGCTCCTAGAGGGAGGCAAGTCAGATATGCTTTTAGAGTCACAAATGTGAGGGTGCTAACGTATTTCCCCGAAAATAAGGACCCAAGCAAAACATAAGCTTTAGCGTGATTTTTTTTCCAGGATGCTCGTAATATAAGTCCCGCCCCAAAAATAAGCCCCAGTTAAGATCGTCGGCCAGATGGATGCATTTAGTACTGTATTTCCCCGAAAATAAGACCTAACTGGAACATAAGCCCTAATGCGTCTTTTGGATCAAAAATTAATATAAGACCAGGTCTTACTTTCGGGGAAACACAGGGAGTTGGCTTCTGCTGATCTGCTTTAGCAATAGCAATAGCGCTTAGACTTATATACCGCTTCATAGTGCTTTTCAGCCCTAAGTGGTTTACAGAGTCAGCATATTTCCCCTAACAACACTCAGCGTCTTAGCCACTGAGCCACTGCGTCCCTACTTACTCAAAGGAGGCTACTTACCAAGTAATCTTCGTAAGTGAGGGACATCCACTTCACCAAATGCGACACAATCTTGGTGGGGAAGAGGTGCTGAGACTCAGGGGAGACGGGCAGAATGCCATGTTCTGGAGGCGACAAGAAAGGAGGTAAGGGGTCCCCATAGAAGACGATTCTTGCAAAAGACCAAAGAGAAGCTTTCTTCTTCGGTCCCTGAGAACCATCATGTTCTTCTTCTACAAGAGTCTCCAACCTTGGCAATGTTAAGACTTGTGGACTTCAACTCCCAGAATCCCTCAGCCAGCCTCCCAAGAATTCTGGGAGTTGAAGTCCACAAGTTTCAAAATGTTGTGGCCCACCAGCGGCCAGTGGAGCTGGCAGCGGATTCGGACAGCGATGAGGCTGAGGAAGAACATGGGCCAGTTCTGGAGGCTGGGGAAGGCGCGGATGAGGGCTCTGCGTCAGAGGCAGAGATGGGGCCAGGGCCATCGGGGAGTGATGTGCGGATTTCGGAGCCTCCAGAGGCTGACAGTAGAGAGGCAGAGGAACAGGAGGAGCCTGTTCCTAGTATGAGAAGAGCTGCCAGAAGGCAGGAGCAGCTAAAGCAGAGAGGACGACTCGAGAGTAAGGCCAAGAGATGATTGGCCCCTCCCATAAGGCTTAAAAGACCAGCAACAGCTCTTAGGCTCTTTCCCGGAAAACAACGTTGAGAGATTTGCTTGTTGTTTCACTGTATTCATTTCTTGTCGGTGTCTTCTGCGCCTGAACTTTTGCCAAGAAAAGCCTTTGGCAGGTTGCCTAATTATCCCAAGGTCGGTGATAAACGGAGGGATGGTGTTTTGAAGAATTTGCTTTAATTTAGTTTGGACTACGCTGACAATGAGTTAACTCTCAGCTGTTCTAACAAAGTCTGTTTTCGAACTGTTTGTATTTAATACTAACTACTTGGGGCCTGGGTCACAACATACTCAAGGCCCGAGACCTTTATTGCACCCAGAATTCTGGGAGTTGAAGTCCACAGGTTATTTAAAGTTGCTAAGGTCAGACACCTCTTGATTATAGGACGTTGGGCAGCCATTTGTCCAGGATAAAATAAGGTCTCGTGCCTTGCGTAGCGGATTGGATGAGAGGACCTCCAAGGTCCCCTATGATACTATTGATATTACTGCATCGAGGTTACTATATATATGCTCAGAAGTGGAAAAAGTTTGACGCTGTTCAAAACGGAGTTCCCCCCCCCCCTTTTGCTAAGAGAACGGGAGGGTCCCAACGACTCACCGAGGGAAGCAAATTGCTTGTGAAGGGCCAGGCGCGACTCCAACCTCGTTTTGAGCAGTTTCATGGTCCTCTCCATGTGGCTAGCACTCAGCGAGTTATCGGCGACCACAGGGTTCTGTCAACAAGACAAAATTATTCTTTGACATTCTTGGCAGCTGTTAATGCAATCAATTAACAGCCGTTGTGGTAAAAGACTGGTTTCTTTAGTAAACTAAGGTTTGAACGGACTTGGTGTGTGCTGCGTTCTTTGGGGTCCGTAGCTGGGGCAGAACAAAGAGCTTTGGGGAGGCTTCCGTGCACACCTACCTGGGGTTGGTCCTTGGGGAAGTGCAAGCCTCCCAATTTTTGCACCCACACGTATGGGTGGCCCAGTTCAGGCACGTAGTCGTTCAGGGTGAGGATGCTGGAAAGGGGAGAGAAGAAGGGATGAGGACAATCAACAACTGTTGGAGCCATCTTGGTGATTTTGCCCATCCGGGTAGTCCTTGATTTACGACCGCCACTGAACCCAAAATTCTGTGCTAAGCCAGAGAGTTGTTGAGTTTTGCTCCACCTTATGACCTTTCCTCCCACAGTGGTTAAGTTGACTTTGTGTCAAGTTTCCGAAAGATGCCCTAATTAATTCATGAGCCATGATCCAAACTTCAAAGGAAATATAGTCATTTATTAGGAGCAACATTCCGGCAATACTGGGATGCAGTTAGGACTGATCCTCCGTAGATTTACGTTCCCCTATGACCCTGTCTCTCCCCTCCTCTCTGGCCATGTCATAAATCACATTCTCCAATTAACCACTTTGGCTGGCTGTGAAACCTAACACCCTCCTTCTGATTGCGGTCGGAAAGAATGTATGGAATTCACTTCAGTTCTCCCTCCCTCCTGCTCATGGCAACTTGAAAGCTTTGCGAGTTGACACTTTGCTTGTCAGAAGGTCGCAAAAGGGCATCGCAGGACCCCCCGGGACACTGCAACCGTCATAAATATGAGCCAGTTGCCAAGCGTCTTAATTTTGATCCCGTGACTGTGGGGATATGGCAACGGTCATAAGTGTGAAAACAGACGTGACTCATTTTTAACTGTGCAGTTGTTCTTAGACAAATGGATGTAAAATCAAGGACTATCTGCACCATTGGGGTAATGGCAGCTCCCTTTCTCCCTACTGGCTTACCCCACTTTGTCGAACTGGAACTGGTTGGCGGGGTTTGGGGTCCTCTTTCCGTGGTCCCCAGGATAGAGGCAGCTCAGAAGAGAATCAGGGCACAGCAGGTCCCTAAGGAAAAAATCCAGGAGGGGGAAAGAAAGGGATCATTCAGTTTCAGGCCCTGATGCCTCAGATAGAAAGCCCCTACAGAGAGTGGTGAGGACAGTGGAGATTATAGGAAGTTCAATTCCCATTATTCAGGATGCTGCTTATAAGCGCTATGTACTCGAAGCATCGTTAGATACCCCACACACCCACTTCTGCAGCTGCCCTTCAGTCCCAATTTTGCTCCATCGCCTGCCTTTTTTCTGGTCCTTTGAACTGGAAACATCCCTGAGTCACCAGCAGAGTTTCACACCCCAAATCCAAGCAGAAGAGACAGGTTCTTGACATGAAAAGCTGGTAGCCACAATGGATTTAACAGCTATCCTGCTATCTCCTCACATCTTGTATTCAAGCCAATTTGAGTTTCTCAGCAGATCCCCAGGAACAGCTCACCCAGCGCTGATGGGCACCGTCATCTCCGTGGCTGCCGTCATCTTGGCCTTGACGGTCAGGACGTTGAGGTTCATCAAGTAGTAAAAGGTCAGGAGCAGCAAACTGCCATCTGCAAGGACACAGCCAGGGTCATTCTTCCAAGCACAGAAAGGGTCTTCGTATGTGTTTGTACATGTACGTACACAGTTTCAGTTCTCCAGAATGGAGTCCCAGCACATATCCTCATTACTAAAGAAAGAGACTCCAGGAAGGAAAATGAGTTGGCTGAGGAATTCTGGGAGTTGAAGTCCACAAGTCTTAAACTTGCCAAGTTTGGAGACCCCTGATCTACACTACTGCAGCAAATGATCATCAATCTACTGTTGGGATTAGAGTATGAAAGCCGAGGAAATGGTTAAAAAAAATGGAATGGAAGCGAGTCCATGCTTTCTAATATTAAGGGCCCTGTGGGAATAGTCAAACAAATGAAGATGGTAGCCATGATGGTATAATCTAAATTCCCAAAGTTCATTGTAGCTGCCAACTTGACTTGTTAGTCATACTCTATTGGGCCTTGATGATGAATGCTGTTTTTATTACTGGAGTGGTTCAGTATGTATTGTTCCAATTTTGAGTTGTCTAGAAAAGAGCTGCCTTCCAATCCAATGACTCAACTCAACCCAACTCAACCCAACTCAATACAACACAACTTAACTTAACCCAACTTAACTCAACTTCTCAACTCAACCCAACCCAACTTAATCCAATCCAACTCAACCCAGACCAACTTTACTCAACTCAACTTCTCAAGTCAACTTCTCAAGTCAACCCAGCTCAACTCAACTTAACCCAACCCAACTTAACCCAATCTAATTTAACTCAACTCAATTTAACTGAAAAACTTCTCCTCAACCCAACTCAACTTAACTTAACTCAACCCAACCCAACCCAACCCAACTTCTCAACTCAACCCAGCCCAACCTAACCCAATCCGATTCAACCCAGCCCAACTTTACTCAACTTCTCAATTTAACTCAACTCAACTTCTCAAGTCAACCCAGCTCAACTCAACTTAACCCAACCCAATCCAACTTAACCCAACCTAATTTAACTCAACTCAATTTAACTGAACAACTTCTCCACTCAACCCAACCCAATTTAACTCAACCCAACCCAACCCGATTCAACCCAGCCCAACTTTACTCAACTTCTCAATTTAACTCAACTCAACTTCTCAAGTCAACCCAGCTCAACTCATCTTAACCCAACCCAACCCAACGTAACCCAACCTAATTTAACTCAACTCAATTTAACTGAACAACTTCTCAACTTAACTCAACCCAACCCAACTTAACTCAACTTCTCAATTCAACACAACTTAATTTCTCAACTCAACATAACCCAATCCAACTTCTCAACCCAACCCAACCCAAATCAAATCAAATCAACTCAACTCCCAGATTGGGAACACAAAGCGGCAATAAAAACTGATAAATCCTTTGATTTTCCTACCTTTACATTTCAAGTTGATGGTGACGGACAGAGGGTGCCTCTTCAGCATCTCTTTCCGCTTGTCATCCAGCTGCACCCCCAAAGTTGGTCGGCGACGTTTCTGCAGCGGGGGAGGAAAACCAAAGTGTGTTTAATTCCTTACAGCAGAGATGCTGTAGCACATCCTGCGCAGACTTTGGGGGTTGTACTAATGTTTTCTAAAACTCCCTTCCAGCATTATCAATCTATGATTTATTAGCTTCCACGGTTAATGGAAAGGGACACCCCAAAACAGGAAAAAGGGATCTGTTAAGAGGCTCAGGCAGGAGGTGTTGGCAACCCTTCTGTTCTCAGCTGTGGCCCCCAGCCTCACCGTAGTCTGCTCCTCCTCCACATCGGAATCGCTCTCGTCGTCTGGGAATACAAAACAAAACCAAACATTAGAAGAGAAAACCTGGACAGCCTCAACATCTCAAAAGCCTGTGTGGTTTGCCACTTATCTTGCAAGGAAAGAAGTTTCATGAGAGAGGCACTGATGGGGAAAAACTTAAAAACTCTTACAGCAGCGTGCAGTGTTTGGATCAAAAGTGAGCAGAGACCCTAGCAATAAAGCAATAATGCCTTGATAAGGCCCCCCATGGAATACGGCATCCAGTTTTGGTCGCCTCGATGTAAAAAAGATGTAGAGACTCTAGAAAGAGTACAGAGAAGAGCAACAAAGAGGATTAGGGGACTGGAGGCTAAAACATAGGAAGAACGGTTGCAGGAACTGGGTATGTCTGGTTTAATGAAAAGAAGGACTAGGGGAGACATGATATCAGTCTTCCAATATCTCAGGGGCTGCCCCAAAGAAGAGGGAGTCAAGCTATTCTTCAAAGCACCTGAGGGTCGGACAAGAAGCAACGGATGGAAACTAATCAAGGAGAGAAACAACCTGGAATTAAGGAGAAATTTCCTGATAGTTAGAACAATTAATCAGTGGAACAACTTGCCTCCAGAAGTTGTGAATGCTCCAACACTGGAAGTTTTTATGAAGAAGTTGGATAACCATTTGTCTGAAGTGGTGTAGGGTTTCCTGCCTGAGCAGAGGGTTGGACTAGAAGACCTTCAAGGTCCCTTCCAGATTCTATTCTATTCCATTCCATTCCATTCCATTTTATAATATTCTTTAATAGTCTATTCTATTCTATTCTATTCTATTCTATTCTATTCTATTCTATTCTATTCTATTCTATTCTATTCTATTCTATTCTATTCTATTCTGCTTGGATAATAGCTATTTTGAACAGAATTTACTGTAATTACTTGTGGGAAAGCTGAGCATTTTAAGGGTCAAAATACCCACCAAAAATTGGGATTGCCTGATCTGCCGAGGCACTTATTTCCGAGGCTACGGGAAGCCCTTCGGCTTACAACCATAATCAAGCCCAACGTATCTGCTGCTAAGCGAAACATTGGTTAATTCGCCCCGTTTTACGCCCCTTTCTTGCCACCGTCGTTCAGCCAACCACCGCTGTCATTAAGTCAAGTCACAGGGTTGTTAAGCGAATCCGGCTACCCCGTTGATTTGGCTCGTCGGAAGGTCGCCGAAGGGGAATCACATGACGCCCCTCCCTGGGGGGGGGGGGGACAACACGGCAACTGTCATAAATACGAGTCAGTTGCCGAGGGTCTGAATTTGGACCACAGGGATGATGATGATGCAAACGGTCGTAAGTCACTTCCCCCCCCCAAAGCTGTTGTGACTTTCAACGGTCACTAAACGAATGGTTGTAAGTTGAGGACTAGCTGCAATAACCAATCCTCTGGCAGTAGCCTCAGAACCAGCAATGCCAGCGCTTACCCTGAGAGTCCTCCGGAGGTTTGCAAAGAGCTTTGGCTTCCTCTACGTTTCCTTCGATAGCCGCGGCCAGCTTCTTATCTGGGGGGAGGAGAGAAAAACATCTTAGATCCCCTTTCCTGCAAAGACCCCTGGAAGGTTCACCTAAGCGCGTCCACCTTCTAAAAGAGGAAACCATTGGCCCCCCGAGTAGGTCTTGTCTAGCCCAGGATGTCAGATGTCTCTCACTGGCCCACGACAGCTTCCCCTAAAGCTCCCTTGGCATCGGCAGCTGGAGATGCAACTATGAAGAACGTTGGTCAAATCTGTATTCTTCAAATAAGGTGAGATCACCTTTACTGTCATTTTACTGTGGGCATACCAGCACATGTTAATTCTGTTCTTAAAAGTGTATATATACGTAACACGCATGCAGACATGTTTATCTCTCTCTCTCTCTCTCTCTCATCATCTCATCCATCCATCCATGTTATCTATCTATCTATCTATCTATCTATCTATCTATCCATCCTATCTACCTATCATCCATCCATCCAACTATCAACTATCCAACCATCCATCCATCCATCCACCTACCTATCCATCCATCATCTATCATCTCTCTCTTATGTATCATCTGTCATCCATCCATCCATCCATCCATCCATCCATCCATCCAATCATCTCCCATCCATCCTATCTATCTATCTATCTATCTATCTATCTATCTATCTATCTACCTATCTACCTATCTACCTATCTACCTACTTACCTACCTATCCATCCATCATCTATCTTCTATCATCTCTCTCTTATGTATCATCTTTCTCATCCATCCATCTCCCATCCATCCGTCCTATCTATCTATCTATCTATCTATCTATCTATCTATCTATCTATCATCTATCTTCTATCATCTCTCTCATGTATCATCTCTCTCATCCATCCATCCATCCAATCATCTCATCCATCTATCCATCTTATCTCCCATCCATCCATCCATCCATCCATCCATCCATCCATCCATCCAATCTACCTATCTATCTATCTATCTATCTATCTATCTATCTATCTATCTATCATCTATCTATCTATCATCTATCTCTCTCATGTATCATCTCTCTCTCTCCATCCATCCACCCATCCACCCACCATCCTTCTCTCTCTCTCTCCTCAACTTACAACAGTTCATTTAGTGACCAGGTAGCCCCATGTGGTTGGTAAATCACCTCATCTGAGCCCTAATCTAGCAAGCTGCACACATCCAGCCTAGGAATCCTGGAGAAGAAAGGGAAGTCAACCAGATAGCCCCGTGCGGTGGATATATCTCCATTTAAGCTTTGGCCTTCAGCCCGAGCTGCGAAGAGAAATCGGACCCTGCTTTTCCTTCGGGGTGGGTGTGGGTGGGAGAGAACCTTCAAAGCTGGCCAATTCCAGGCTACTCACCACAGGCCTGGCCGTAGGCGCTGGCTTGGACAAAGAGGACGTAGAGTGGGGGTGGGAGATGCCTGGCTGTTTCATATTGCTTGTGAACTTGGTCGAAAGGCATGGCAAAGTACTCCTGGACAGGAAGAGAGGCCTGGGAGGAAACAGGAAGGGGGGTGGGGGAAAGTCAGCTTGCAGGGGTTATCAGCAGGGAGGGGTTGAAAAAAAAAAAAAAGTGAAAAGGGAGGCCACGATAGGGCAAATTATAAAACTATTCTATATAGGTTAAATCGCAGCCAGCATGGGGTATTCTGGGAGCTGAAGTTCACAGGTTGTTGACGTTGGACACCCTGTACTAAATTAGAATGGCTCGGTTTACCTCATGCCATAAGCTCAAAATGAACTGTTGTGGCTTGTCGGTTGCCGGCCCCTCCAGCAGCCGACTCAGAGGAAGAGGAGGGGGTGTGGGAGTCAGGGCCAGCATCAGGGCAACCTGAGAGCTCCAAGGGGGGAATGGAGCTGGCAGAGAGAGAGAGAGAGAGACGGAGCCTGGGCCATCCGTCAGCCCTCAGATGGAGAGTCAACAGCCCCCAGGTCTGGAGGTGGCTGATGAGGAGGAGGAGGAACAGCTGGGTCTAGTGCCTGATGCACAGAAGGCAGAGAGGAGAACAGTGGAAATCTATGGGCTGATCCTCAGGACGGAAGAGCCACCGCTGCTAGCAAAGCTCTGGGGATAAAAGGGGGCGGAGATGAATAGATGTGACAGACAATTATTCATCTCCCTGTCGGCCGGACCTGTTAGCCTGCAGTGAGAGAAACTTTTTGCCAGGGCTGCTGGCGCTCCTAATAAAGGGAACATTTATTTAACTTCAGAGGGTTTGTCGTGTTTGGGGAGCTAGGTCAGGACACAAACCAAGCCACCATATGCGATAGGGATGCAAATAACCCATCCAGAATTAACAGGATCGAAATTAACAGAAAATTGAAATTCGAGGATGTAAAGACTGAGCGAGAACGCACCTGAAGAGGAAAAGGAAATGACTAATGAGAAACAAGAAAAAGAGAAGGGTAATGAAGAAGACAAAGATAAAGAGACTGACTATGGAAAATTAAACAATATTAAGTATGGACAGAATTAACAGGATCATCTAAAGACTGTCGGACGAAAGGAACCTGCCTGCATGATGCTGTTAAGCCGAGGCTGGAGATTGCTCAGATATTCTTTCTTCACTTCTATCTCTTTGAGGATCTTCTCTTTGTTGGCTAAACTTTCTTCGTACTTCTCTGCCAGCCTGTGGAAAAGGAGATCTACGATTAGGAGGGTTATAAAAACCATCCTCAAGGTTGCCGCCTCGATTTGCGGAAGGCTTCCTTTTTATGAAAACGAAAGTGTTTTAAAAAAAAAAAGCAGACTAAACAGGCAGCATGGATGACGCAGGGCAGTATAGGGGGAGAGGATGGTTTCCACGGGACCAATTTTTATTTATTTATTTATTTATTTAACAAGCTGTACCCGGCCACCCTTTGCCGTGGTCTCAGTCTTGCGGGTATACAATCTTAGGTGTAGGTGGCTCATTACAGAAAATGAAGAACGCAATATAAAACATGGAAACAATGAATATCCCCATTAAAAAAGGAACAAAGACAGCTGAGGAAGGAGCAACGTGGAGCAGAGTGGAAATGGAATCGTCTCTTAATCCACGAACCATCTCCAGAATGACACCCGCCCATTAAGGGGCACAATGTCCCGGAGGGTGGGAGCCACCGCAAAAAAAGGCTCCTCCTTCCTTGTCGCCAGAGGCCGCCCTACTCACCGTTTGCGCTGCTCCAGTTCCCAGTCGAGGCGAGAGAGGGTTTGCTCGTGGGGGTCGTGGAGCGTAATGTCCGATTTGCTGATTTCGGGAGGGGCCTCCTTATAAAACTCATCCACGCTCACCAGCTCGATCTCCTCGTGCTTCGATCTGTGCCAAGGGGCAGAAAGGAATTTAAAATTATTTATTATTATTTTATTATTTCAATTTATATTCCGCCCTTCTCCGAAGACTCAGGGCGGCTTACAATGCACTATCTCTGTTTCCCTCCCAAGAAATACAAGAAAAGGTTAAAATGGTGCTGCCTAACAAACCTTGGAAAGTTTCCTATGTGTGGACTTCAACTCCCAGAATTCCCATTCATGGCTGGCTGGGGTATTCTGGGAGTTGAAGTCCACACCATTGCAAACTTCCCAAGGTTGAGAGACGCAGGGCTAGAAAAATACAAGTGCTTTCCTCCCAACCCCTAAAGTTTTTTATTTTATAACACATAAAATTCAATTTTCAGTTAAACAGTGCTTTGTCTGGGTACAAATAGTTTTAGGAAATAGTAATCAAAGTATTTACAGCGATGTTCATTAGGTTGGTATTGATTCTATAATGATAATCATAATCATAAAAATAATAATAGTTTGCTTATCCATTTTTAACATAACTTCCTTATATCATAGGGGACGCGGTGGCTCAGTGGCTAAGAACTGAGCTTGTCGATCGAAAGGTCGGCAATTCAGCGGTTCGAGTCCCGAGTGCCGCGTAACAGGGTGAGCTCCCGTGACTTGTCCCAGCTTCTGCCAACCTAGCAGTTCGAAAGCACGTTAAAAAAAATGCAAGTAGAAAAATAGGGACCCCTTTGGTGGGAAGGGAACAGCGTTCCGTGCGCCTTTGGCGTTGAGTCATGCCGGCCACATGACCACGGAGACGTCTTCGGACAGCGCTGGCTCTTCGGCTTTGAAACGGAGATGAGCCCCGCCCCCTAGAGTCGGGAACGACGAGCACATACGTGCGAGGGGAACCTTTACCGTTTACCCTTATATCATTGGTCCTTTCCTTATATTTCCATGTTTCTAACTCGTGTTCTTTTATCAGCTAACCATTGATAAAATAAACCCCAAGTCAAAAAAAATATTCGGTTTCTTTCTTTTATCAAACTGCTTTTTAACTTTGGAGAGAGATCGAGTTCAGCAGCCAAAGAAATGAAAATCCTTCCTTTCTCCATTTTGAACTGAGTTGAATATTTACAAGTGTGATTAGATACACAAGGAACTAGTCTGCAGCACAAAAGCACTCCGTGTACATGCAAAGCAACAAATAATACCAATAAAAAGGGGAAGAAAAGATAATAGAATAGAATTCTTTATTGGCCAAGTGTGGTTGGACACACAAGGAATTTAATAATATGGATAAACAATAATACAGGTAATCCTTGAGTTACGGCCACAACTGAGCCAAAATTTCTGTTGCTGGGCGACAGTGTTGTTAAGTGAGTTTTGCCCGCCTTTCTCGCCACAGTTGTTAAGTGAATCTGAATTTCCCGCTGCTTGTCAGACGGTCGCAAAAGGGGATCATGAGATCCCGGGGCACTCCAACCGTCATAAATATGAAGCGGATGCCAAGCGGCTGAATTTGGATCACGGATGCTGCAAAGGTTGCGACTGCGAAAAACGGTCATTAAGTGTGAAAAACGGTCAAAGTCTTTTTTTTCCCCAATGCCGTTGCGACTTCAAACGGTCGGTAAATGAATTGCGAAGCCGAGGAAGATCTGTGCTGCATAAGCTCCGCAGGGGTCCAATGGACACATTTTTCTTCTTTTCAAGCTTTTGTCAACCGCTGCACTCACGCTCAGCAAGAAACGAAGTACGATCGAACCGCTTCGGGGGGGGGGGGGGCTCCGTGTTGGGAGTTTGTGGCCGGCAGGAGGAGCAATTGTTGGTCAATGAATTCCGGTTTTGTTCGGGTGGGTCAGCTCTTCCTCCGACCTATTCAGTTTCTCCCAATTAAAATAGCAATAGCCCTTAGACTTATAGACCGCTTCACAGTGCTTTCCAGCCCTCTCTAAGCGGTTTACAGAGTCAGCCTCTTGCCCCCCAACAATCTGGGTCCTCATTTTACCCACCTCGGAAGGGCGGAAGGCTGAGTCAACCTGAGCTGGTCAGGATCGAACTCCTGGCAGTGGGCAGAGTTAGCCTGCCATACTGTTACAGCAATAGTAATAGCACTTAGACTTATATACCGCTTCATAGTGCTTTTACAGCCCTCTCTAAGCAGTTTACAGAGTCAGCCTCTTGCCCCCCAACAATCTGGGTCCTCATTTTACCCACCTCGGAAGGAGGGAAGGCTGAGTCGACCTTGAGCCTGGTGAGATTCGAACTGCCGAACTGCAGGAAAGCCGGCAGTCAGAAGAAGTCGCCTGTAGTCCTGCACTCTAACCACTGCGCCACCGCGGCTCTTAATCTTAAATCTTAAACGTCCACCCTGTTGCCTTCCGTTATGTCCGTGTCCCCCCCCCCGGGTGGACTTACTTGAACTCCAAACACTTTGTGATCTCCTTCTGCAAATGCATCACTTCGTAGAGTAAATTTTGGAGCTGGAGGTGATAAGCATCGACTTTCTGTTTTGCCTGTATCCACAACAGAAAGAGAGGCCGAAGTTGCCACGTTAGGGAGTCAAGATCAAAGTTAACCCCAAGCTTTTCGGGTTGGTGGCACAGAGAGGGAGGAGGGAAAATGGCTTTGTGGGAGGAGCTCGTGCGAGCAGGGCAGAGGTGGGTTTCAGCAGGTTCTGACCAGTTCTGGAGAACCGGTAGCAGAAATTCTGAGTAGTTCAGAGAACCGGTAATAAAAATTCTGACTGGCCCCGTCCCCATCTATTCTCTGCCTCCCAAATCCCAGCTGATCAGGAAGAAATGGGGATTTTGCAGTATCCTTCCCCTGGAATGGGAGGGAATGGGGATTTTACAGTATCCTTCCCCTGGAATGGGGAGAGAATGGGGATTTTGCAGTATCCTTCCCTGGAGTGAGGAGGGAATGAGGATTTTACAGTATCCTTCCCCTGGAATGGGGAAGGAATGGGGATTTTGCAGTATCCTTCCCTGGAGTGAGGAGGGAATGAGGATTTTACAGTATCCTTCCCCTGGAGTGGGGAGGGAATGGAGATTTTGCAGTATCCTTCCCTGGAGTGGGGAGGGAATGGGGATTTTGCAGTATCCTTCCCCTAGAGTGGGGAGGGAATGAGGATTTTACAGTACCCTTCCCCTGGAATGGGGAGGGAATGAGGATTTTACAGTATCCTTCCCCTGGAATGGGGAAGGAATGGGGATTTTGCAGTATCCTTCTCTTGGAGTGGGGAGGAATGGGGATTTTGCAGTATCCTTCCCCTGGAATGGGGATTTTACAGTATCCTTCCCCCGGAATGGGGATTTTACAGTACCCTTCGCCTGGAATGGGGATTTTAGTCCCTCCCCTGCCATGCCCACCAAGCCACACCCACACAACCGGTAGTAAAAATTTTTGAAACCCACCACTGGAGCTGGGCTGTGTATGTGGGCACACACATGGGCACCGGCCAGCTACTCACAAGGCCCGGTGGCCAATAAGTCGTGGCCCAGTAGGGGGCTGTGGCCCACAGGTTGCAAACCCTCCCGCAGAGTCCCAGTGTAGTTCATTTATTCCACCCATCCCTGCGTCTTCTCCTCTTTAGACCCGGCCGCACCTCGTGAGTCTGGTCCCTCCCCTTCTTCAGCCGAATATGAGCCAAGCGGTTGAGCTTCTTCAGAGTCATGAAGTGGACGCAGCTCTGGATCCGTCGCTCTTCGATCTCCGCGGCCTGGGAAAACAGAAAGGGGCGTGGATTTACCAGATCCCGTGGTGTGGATTTTGGAAGCTCAAGGGGATCAACTTGTACAGCAGTTAAGGCAGTTAATTAACAGCCGTTGTTGTAAAAAACCTGGTTTATTTAGTAAACTAAGGTTTGAACGGACTTTTGTTTTGTGCTGCGTTCTTTGGGGTCCGTAGCTGGGGCAGAACAGTGTGTGTGTGTGTGTGTGTGTCTGTTTGATCACACGCGGTGTGTGGCTTACACTGTCTTTGTGCCCTTTGCTCTTCAGTTCCTGGATCTCCGCCATCAGCCTCTGAAGATCCTGGCATGTCTGTTTGTACAGCTCGTAATCTCGGTTTGGGTCTCGCAGTTCCACCTCGGCCTCTTCGCTGTAGTACCTGGCATCCTACGGAGAGGAACGAAGGGGGGGGAGCTGCTGAACTGGGCAAGCGATTGTGGCTTCGACACAACCGCCGCAGAGCGCAGAGGAAAATCCCTGGGTTCGTTCTTACAGCCTCGTCAAAGCTGATCGCGTTTGAAAAGCTACTTATTAGAGTCATTCATTCGACTGCAAGGTGATCGAACCGGTCAGTCCTAGAGGACAGATTAACAGAGTTGGAAGGGACCTTGTAGGTCATCTAGTCCAATCCCCTGACCAAGCAGGAGACTCTACCCTGACTGCTCTTCAGAAGGCCAGATCCTGAAGAGGAAACTCAAAGACTTTGGCCGCCTAATGAGAAGGAAGGACTCCTTGGAGAAGAGCTGAATGCTGGGAACGATGGAGGGCAAAAGAAGAAGAAGGGGACGGCAGAGAACGAGGTGGCTGGATGGAGTCACTGAAGCAGTCAGCATGAGCTTCAATGGACTACAGAGGATGGTGGAGGACAGGAAGGCCTGGAGGAACGTTGTCCATGGGGTCACGATGGGTTGGACACGACTTTGCAACTAACAACATCAACCTGTCTTTGGCTCTGCAATCCAACAAGACAGACAGAGACTTCAGACGATAATTTTAGAACTGCAGAAAAAACCATGGCTACCAACCTGCCTTCCATTGAGGACCTGTATATTGCAGGAGTCAAAAAGAGGGCTGGGAAAATATTACAGACCCCTCGCATCCTGGACATAAACTCTTTCAACTCCTACCCTCAAAACGACGCTTTAGAGCACTGCACACCAGAACAACTAGACACAAGGACAGTTTTTTTCCCAAACGCCATCACTCTGCTAAACAAATAATTCCCTCAACACTGTCAAATAATTTACTAAGAATGTATCAGTATTATTCTTCTCTTTCTTATTAGTATCTATCTCTTCCCACTTATTACTATAACCATGTTGCTTGTATCTTTACAACTTATATTGTTTTTGTTTCCTAGTATGATTTACTAAGCTTATTAGTTACCATGACTATCACTAAGCGTTGTATCTTTTTATTCTCGATGAATGTATTTTATTCTCCTTATGTACACTGAAAGCATTTGCACCAAAGACAAATTCCTTGTGTGTCCAATCACACTTGGCCAATAAAGAATTCCATTCCATTCCATTCCTTTTTTCTGTTCTGTTCTGTTCTGTTCTATTCTATTCTATTCACTCTACTCTACTTCTTAATTCTATTCTATTCTATTCTATTCTATTCTATTCTATTCTATTCTATTCTATTCTTCTATTCAATTCTACTCCATTCCATTCCATTCCATTCCTTTTTCTATTCCATTCCATTCCTTTTTTTTATTCTATTCTATTCTATTCTATTCTATTCTATTCTATTCTATTCTATTCTATTCTATTCTATTCTATTCTACTCTACTCTACTCTACTCTACTCTACTCTACTCTACTCTACTCTATTCTCCTACTCTACTCTATTCAGCTTGTAACACCTCTACATTGTAAGGAAGATGACTTTTGATGGAGATAACACACATTTCGCTGTCAAAGAGAGAAGGGATATTTTAAGTCTAGGACAGACAAATAATATCCAGAAAAGGCTCAGGCGGAATCTTCTGAACTAAAAAGGAAGAGAAGGAACAACATATATACACTTCTAGGATTTCGGTTGTTCTATCCAATATCAATAAAAGTTAGTTTTAGCCTTTTTGAATTCCTGGTCTTGGAGGAGACACACAAGACACGGCTGAACAGAGATCCAGAATTAAGCACTGACCCCTGAGTTTGAAACTGTGATTAGTGGTTGGTTTGCCCATAAGCCATGGTGCCTTCATCCTGAACTAACCAGGATACTGATTCCACATTTAACTTCTCCTTCCAGCTTTGATTTGGGATGGAGCAAGGTTGGATCTTGGGGTGGTCCCCTCCTTATATGCACTTCATCAAGTCCAACAGCAGATTCTTCCATAAACCCCCACACCCCCACCCCAGGTTTTGCAAGGACTCCTCCTGCGCACTTTACCTGATCAAGGTCCGATCTGCTCCTCTTGCCTTCCTGTGGCCCTCCATCCATGCGAATGACCTTCGGCTTCCGCTTCTTGCTGGATTCGGAGGACATGTCCTTCGGCTTTCCTGGGAAAGAAAGAGAAAGTCCGAACCGGTGGATGGAGGAGCAATCAATCAAAGTTGTTATTATTATTAGATTTTTAGCCCGCCTTTTTTTGTCTCATGCTTTTAATAGAAGCAAAAATCGTAAATCAAAGAAAATAAAGATGACGAGAATAGCAAATTGAGAAAGGAGAAAATAGAAAAGGAAAACAGACGGTAAAGAAATGGCTTCAATTTTCTTGCGCTCCCTCTTTAAAGCTTCATCGTAATTTCCTTCCTTCCGCAAGTTATCCTTTCTAATCTCCAAACTCATCAATCACAAGTTCATTTTTCTCTTTTTTCTTTCTTTCATCAGCACGAAGTTCGTAAGGGATTTCCAGTCACTAAATGTAACTGTTGATCTGTTGCTAATCAAACAAGTTAATTTTGCTCTGAAGCTCTGGCAGCTTCACCGGTGTGGGTAAATTTGAAGTACTTTTACACAATTTTATCCTACATTTTCAAAACTTTTTAAAAAACGTTTTTAAAAATATATCCATCAACTCCAGCCAGGCGGCATACTTAATATTCCTGTCTCCTCTTTTCCCACAATAGCAACCACCCTGTTGAACTTTAGAGAGAATGACTGGCTCAAAGTCACCCAGCTGGCATTCATGCCTAAAATGGGACTAGAACTCACCGTCTCCTGGTAACTGGCCCAAAGTCACCCGGGCGGCTTTCATGACTAAGGTGGGGCTACAACTCCCAGTCCCCTGGTGATTGGCCCAAAGTCACCCAATTGGCTTTATATACCTAAGGCGGGACTAGAACTCCCAGTCTCCTGGTGATTGGCCCAAAGTCACCCAATTGGCTTTATATACCTAAGGCGGGACTAGAACTCCCAGTCTCCTGGTGATTGGCCCAAAGTCACCCAATTGGCTTTATATGCCTAAGGCGGGACTAGAACTCCCAGTCTCCTGGTGATTGGCCCAAAGTGACCCAATTGGCTTTATAGGCCTTAAGGCGGGACTAGAACTCCCAGTCTCCTGGTGATTGGCCCAAAGTCACCCAATTGGCTTTATAGGCCTTAAGGCGGCACTAGAACTCCCAGTCCCCTGGTGACTGGCCCAAAGTCACCCAATTGGCTTTATAGGCCTTAAGGCGGGACTAGAACTCCCAGTCCCCTGGTGACTGGCCCAAAGTCACCCAATTGGCTTTATAGGCCTTAAGGTGGGACTAGAACTCCCAGTCCCCTGGTGATCTCTCCCGATGGGAGAGCGCCCTCTGCACATGGTCAGAGGAACCCTCGCCCGAGGGCCGCCACTCAGCCGGGCTCTAGCGGCCTCTCCAGCCCGAGAAAGCGGCCTCACCTCCAGCCGAGGCTCTTCGGCCACCGCAGCTCACTCTCCGCCGCCGCCGCCGCTCCTAACCGCGACCAGGAAGGCCCACCCGGAAGCAGATCCCCCAGTATGTTCGTAAGGAGGAAGTTCCGGTTCAGCGGCTAGAGCGTCGCGTCGGCTCTCTTCCGCCCCTAGAAAACGGGACCAGTGGGATTCCGCGCGAGCGGCTAGAGCGTCGCGTAGGCTCTCTTCCGCCCCTAGTGGCAGTAAACGTGAAACGGCGCTCAGGTGGTTGCTTCTTTGTTTGAGGATGGAGGATCTGCTCTTTTTAATCTGTTTTAACTTTGTCACGTGCTCTACCTTCAAGCGAGCCAGGCGTTTTTTTTTTAAACAGGCGTTAAATAAATTCTGACATTTTCAACCAGTGATCTTCCCAAGTGTAAAATGAAACCTGTGGTTCTCAGCCTTCAAAACCAACTATTAAAATGAGTTTGGGAAAAAAAATGCAAAGAAGATGCATTTTTCTCTTCTTTGCCTTTTTGCAATGATTAAAATGAGCATTTTTTAAAATCATTCTCTTAGGATGATTCAAGGTCTGGAGACTAAATTGTATGATCTGGGTATGGGTGTGTCTAGTTTGATGGAAAGAAGGACCAGGGGAGACATGAGAGCAGTCTTCGAATATCTCAGGGGCTGCCCCAAAGAAGAGGGAGTCAAGCTATTCTCCAAAGCACCTGAGGGCAGGACAAGAAGCAATGGGTGGAAACTCATCCAGGAGAGAAGCCACCTAGAACTAAGGAGAAAATTCCTGACAGTGAGAACAATTAACCAGTGGAACTCCTTGCCACCAGAAGTTGTGAATGCTCCAACACTGGAAGTTTTTAAGAAGGTTTTGGACAACCATTTGTCCGAAGTGGTACAGGGCAGGGGTGAAATCCAGCAGGCTCTGACAGGTTCTGGAGAACCGGTAGTGGAAATTTTGAGCAGTTCGTAGAACCGGCAAATACCACCTCTGGCTGACCCCAGGAGTTTTGGGGGGGAGGAAATGGAGATTTTGCAATATCCTTTCCCCAGGAGTGGGGTGGGAATGGGGATTTTGCAATATCCTTCCCCCAGGAGTGGGGTGGGAATGGGGATTTTGCAATATCCTTCCCCCAGGAGTGGGGTGGGAATGGGAATTTTGCAATATCCTTTACCCAGGAGTGGGGTGGGAATGGGGATTTTGCAATATCCTTCCCCCAGGAGTGGGGTGGGAATGGGGATTTTGCAATATCCTTTCCCCAGAAGTGGGGTGGGAATGGGGATTTTGCAGCATCCTTCCCCCAGGAGTGGGGAGGGAATGGGAATTTTGCAGTATCCTTCCCCTGCCACACCCACCAAGCCGCGCCCACCAAGCCACACCCAAAGAACCGGTAGTAAAAAAAAAATGGATTTCACCACTGGTACAAGGTGTCCTGCTTGAGGTTGGACTAGAAGACCTCCGAGGTCCCTTCCGGCTCTATTCTGATGGACTGGTTGGTTGGTTGGTTGATTGATTGATTGGGTGGACTTCAACTCCCAGAATTCCCCAGCCAACATAGCGACCTTGTGCACCAAGGATAGGAGGGCAAGTGCCGGACAGACTGAGCTGGTAGCAATTTAGGCAGTCAGGACTGCATTGTATCTAGATTTCCCTGATGTTGTATGCCGGATACTTTCAAGAAGAGACCGGACAGTCACTTGTTTGGAATGGCAAAGGGTCTTGTGCTTGAGCACGGGGTTGGACTAGATGACCTCCAAGGTCCCTTCCAACTCCCTGTTATTCTGTTCTGTCATTCTTTTAAGGTCAAGGTAGTGTGTGATTTGCATTCAAAGCAACCAGAGCAGAGCTGCCTTTAAGGCTTCCCCTGCCCCCCCCCCATGCTGAGGGGTATGCATAGTTGCCCCACAGCCACAATTGTAAGAAGTTAGCACCCACCCCTTTCCTAGAGGAATGAAATATTTTGGGAAATATTAAAAAGGCAGAATATGGATGAGAAATGGAGAAGCATGTTTTAAAGACGAAGCAGCTCCCATCTTCCTGCTCCCACCCTTTGTCAATGGGCCAGAGGCAGAAACTCAATCTTTGTCAATGGACCATCATCTGCAACACAATAGAACCCATCTAGCAACAGAAACTAACACAATAGGACCCGTCTAGCAACAGAAACTCACCACATGGCACCTGGGAAGATTACATCAGCCAGCAAAGCTAGCTAAGACCCCCACCTCCTGGGAATCTGACAACCAATCAGGATACTCTTTCTGGGCCCCGGGAAGTTCAAAGCCAGAGAGGGCATAAAACCCGGGGACTCACTGCATCTCGCCCCTTTTTTCTGTTCGGGAACTCAAACCATGTGATCCTGTCCACCATTAAACCATTTTTCCAAGCAGTCTCCATGTTTCCAGTGTCTTTTTCCCCACTTGGAGCTGAACCCAGAAGGATATTCCTTCCTACGCAATCACACAATCACAGTCGCCACACGGCTACCAACGGTGCACAGAACTTTTCATTTGTTTAGCATCTTCCCCGTCCGCCAAGAGAGGTTCAGGATCCCGACGAGCGAGAATCGGCGTCCGGGTTGTCGTTTTCTTTACAATCTTCTTTGAAGCTTCTTGGCTTGGCAAACACTGCAGGGTTGAGAGCCGGAGAACTGGTAGCTGGGTTGGCGTTTGGCAACGATCCGGATGGGCAAGAGCTCTTAGTGGTGTCCCTAGAAGAGGAAACACAGCCTTTGGTGAGGGTTCCCGAGAAATACAGAATATTCAGGCTTGGGCTGCTGTAGGTTCGTGAAAACCTCTAGCTAAGATTCTGTGCCGTTCGGAGAACTCTCAAATCCCACTCCTGGCTGGCCCCACCCATCCCACCCCTCCCAGGAGTCCCCAGGCGGCCAGTTTTGGATGCAGGTAAGTGTAGGGCGCGCACGGAGGCTCAAGGAGGGCAAAAAACGGGCCTAGCGGAAGTTTGGGAAGGCCAGAACAGGCCCGTTTCTGGCCTCCAGAGGGCCTTCAGAGCCTGGGGAGGCTGTTTTTGCCATCCTGGAGGCTCAAGAAAAGCCTCTGGAGCCCAGGGAGGGCAAAAACGCCCCCTCCCCATGGTGCAGGAGGCTGACTAGGCCACGCCCACCATGACCATGCCCATCCAGCAACCGGGCAGAGATATTAGCTGCACTCTGCCATGATGTCCTCACCTCTTTGGACTGACCGGTGACATTCCAGATGAGGGCTGTTTCAGGTCCACGTTCACCATACCTGTCAATCTTTCGGCCTGGCAGTAGGATGAAGGACATGGATTACTATTGGGCAGTGATGGTGGACCATTTTGGTGCCGAGTGCATCAAAGCGCATGCGGAAAACCTCAAAATGCAATGCGAGCGCCCCCCTCCCACGCATGCATCCCGCTCCCACTCGCCCATTTTTGACTTCCAGGTTGGTGCAGGAGGCCTTCCAGGCCCAAAACGGGGCACGGGGGGGCCCGTGCGCATGCAACCCCCCCAAAAAATGCAATGCAAATGTCCCTTGCGCATGAATCCTGGCCCCGCACATTCGCTCAGCTCCTGCCAACCTAGCAGTCTGAAAGCACGCGAATGGAAGTAGATCAATAGGTACCACTTTGGTGGGAAGGGAACAGTGGGGTGGGAATGGAGATTTTGCAGTTATCCTTCCCCAAGCCACACCACACCCACCAAGCCACCCCCACAGAACCAGTAGTAAAAAAAATTGGATTTCGCCACTGGTGCTCCCCACAAGGAAAAATTTCAAGGAGAAAGTTCCTGAAAGTGAGAACAATTAATCAGTGGAACTCCTTGCCTCCAGAAGTTGTGAATGCTCCAACACTGGAAGTTCTTAAGAAGAGGTTGGATAACCATTTGTCTGAAGTGGTGTAGGGTTTCCTGCCTAAGCAGGGGGTTGGACTAGAAGACCTCCAAGGTCCCTTCCAACTCTGTTATTCTATTCTATTCTAGTCTAGTCTAGTCTAGTCTAGTCTAGTCTAGTCTAGTCTATTCTTCTATTCTAATTCCTATTCCTATTCTTATTCCTATTTCATTGTATTCCATTCCATTCCATCCCATTCCATTCCATTCCATTCCATTCTATTCTATTCCATCCCTGGATGATTTTAAGAAAAAATTGGACAGCCCCCTGTCTGAAATGGTATAGGGACTCCTGCTTGAGCAGCGGGCTGGACTAGAAGACCTCCAAGGTCCCTTCCAGCTTTCTTCTGAACCGATTACGTAATCATGGGGATGCTGCAACAGTCGTCTAAGTGTGAAAAGTCCCCTTTTCAGCGCCGTTGCAACTTCACTCACTCACAAACTGTTGTAAGTCAAGGACTATTTGTACGCACATGGCCTGATCATTCAAGAATCACAGAGGGCCATCCTCATTAGGGATACAGACCTGGCTCGGGAACGGCCCAAAAATTTTGGGCATAGTTGGCACCACCGGCTCTCCAAATCTGGGTTGGCTGGGATTGAATGTTCCCAAAGCGATATTCTTCCTTGTTCTTCCCTCCAGCGTCAAATAGGATGCTTTTTTGGCAGCTGCGGAAGGAAAGGAGACCACTCAGTAGGAACGTTTTTGGGCAGCCTCAATCTGCAGAAGACAAAAGGCTCTCCGACTTACCCAAAGCGTAATTATTCACCTTCTGCATCTCCTGTTTCAACTGCTTCACCTCCTTCTGGATGTCGTCCATTTTTAGGGAATCTTCGTGGCGAAACAAGGAAGAAAACTTGGCCTGCCGAACAGAAGAGCTTGTCTATCATCCACTCCATATATATATATATATATATATATATATATATATATTGCTCCTAGAAGCACGAAGCCGAAAACACCAGCCTGAAGATGATGAATGAGACTTTGTCGAAACGTTGCCAAAACACCTCAAATTTTATGCGGGAGAAAACCCGAATAACCAAAGACCTACACACACACACACACACACACACACACACACACGTATGTATGTATGTATGTATGTATGTATGTGTGCGCGCGCGCCATTTCCGAAAATCTTACTGTTTATTGAATATACTACATGGTAAAGTCGAAGCAAAACTTACTCCAAGGTTCCCAGACACCCGTGCATAGAATTAAACAATACTTTCCCCAACCAAACGCCCAACCTCTCACGTGGTCCATGTAAACAAATTCACTTTGTTATGGGAACCGTCTGGTTCAACTCTACACCTGTTACGGTGTCCTTGAGAATGTTTCAGGCTCTCCCAGCCTTCAGTGGAATCGTAGAGGTTTTGTTCCTCCATCTAACCTCATGATGGCGAACCTATGGCATGCCTGCCCAAAGTGGCACATAAAGTCATGTCAACTGGCACGGGCTGCCTTGCCTGTTTGTTTTCTGGGTTTATGGCATGCATGCAGCTGTCCTTTGCATGCACGCCAGTGCCAAAAACCAGTGTGCGCGCATGTGCACCAGCCACCTGATTGTTGGGGTGCATGCACACCAGAACCCGGAAGTTTGGCTTTCTGGAGCGCAATCCCTTCGTGCGCATGGCAGTGCTGAAAACTGAACTGTGCATGCGTGCTGGCCAGCTGATCATCCGGTGCGCATGTGCGCTAGAAGCCGGAAGTTCAGCTTTTCTGGAGCACGGCCCCGACGAGTGCGTGCGTGGGCACGCAAAGTTTTCACGCAACCTTTACGGCACTCGGTGCCGAAAAGGTTCGACATCACTGATCTAACCCATTCCAAATAACACAAACACACAAACACACACATTAATGGCAAATTGAAAGGAAGAGGCACGTAGCTGCTAAAGTTTCATTCTCGACAGCCTTTGTAACTTCGAATGGTGAATGAAGAATTGTTAAGTCCAAGACTGCCTGTATCTCTCTCTCCCTGCCGCTTTCCGGTTAAAACCGAATCCGTACCTTCACATAGGACATCAATCCGGCATCCTTGCTGTCCAGCTGCTGCTTTCTTTTTTGCACAATGGATGCGCAGAGGTCTGGGTTTTGTTCCATGTGGATGTAAAGCTCCCGCAAAGCTTTCTGTGTGTAAGTCAGGGACTGTCTCTCAAAGTCCTCCGGAGAAATCCTCCTGCAGAAGGAGACGTAGAGCGGGGATTCATTGTCAAATTCACTGAGTATCTCCATCTTCGCCCTGCTTAGGAAGAAGGAATAATAAATATCGGCGTTTTGCGCGCAAGTTGATTATATGCAAATGTTTCCATTAAAAGTGATCGTGTTTCCTTATAATTGTTCCGTTAAAAATGATTGTGTTTCATTATAACTGTTCGTAAAAGGTAAAGGTTCCCCTGGCACATACGTGCTAGTCGTTCCCGACTCTAGGGGGCAGTGCTCATCTCCGTTTCAAAGCCGAAGAGCCAACGCTGTCCGAAGACGTCTCTGTGGTCATGTGGCCGGCATGACTCAACGCCAAAGGCGCACAGAACGCTGTTCCCTTCCCACCAAAGGTGGTCCCTATTTTTCTACTTGCATTTTTTACCTGCTTTCGAACTGCTAGGTTGGCAGAAGCTGGGACAAGTCACGGGAGCTCACCCCGTTACGCGGCACCAGGGATTCGAACCACTGAAATGCCGAACCTTTCGATCGATAAGCTCAACGTCTTAGCCACTGAGCCACCGCGTCCCTTAACTGCTCATAATAATAATAATGACTAAATAAGCAATTGCAGAATTTTTCTGGTTACCTGGCTTCACTGAAAACACCCAAACATAAACTTAGAGCAACAGCTAGGTTCACATACACACACTATACTCCAAGCTAGCAAATCTACAGGTTAACCCAGTGGTGAAATCCTAATTTTTTTACTACCGGTTCTGTGGGTGTGGCTTGGTGGGCATGGCAGGGGAAGGATATTGCAAAATCCCCATTCCCACCCCACTCCTGGGGGAAGGATATTGAAAAATCCCCATTCCCACCCCACTCTGGGGCCAGCCAGAGGTGGTATTTGCCGGTTCTCCGAACTGCTCAAAATTTCTGCTACCAGTTCGCCAGAACCTGTCAGAACCTGCTGGATTTCACCCCTGGTCTTAACCCCAGGCTGTTGAGTGACTCAACGTATCAAGTCTGAGATCTCAACCAGCCAGGATCTCCAAAACGTTCTCATTTTACTCTTTTCCCAAATGGATCCTGCAAATGGATCCAGTCGGTCTGAAGGCCACCAGGGTCCAGACAGCTATAGCATTTTGGGTGGCTGGAAAATTTTGGGATGTCCTGAGCCAAAGAACCCGATCCGGTCTTGGGAACACGCTCAATGGATTCCCACCAAGATTTTCTTCTGGTGGCCATGAGTCTATTTTGAAAGCATGTACATAATTACGGTGGTGACTTTGCTGGCTTCTTCTCCCAAATCTGGTGGGCTTGGAGGAACCCCAAAGCGGATCTTTTTCAGGAAAGAAGAGGCAGTTCGGCCTTTGGGCAGGAGGAGCTGTGTGAGAGAACTCTTCCATCCTCTTGGCCCACAGCTACTCCGGAGAGGAATTGTGACATCAAGAAACAAAGAACCAATTGGGTTGTGCCCAAGAATGTGGCCTTCAACAATGCCAAACGGCTGCATCGTGGCTCCTTTCCCCCCCCCGGTGCCGTTGTAATAACTCTGAATGGTCACTAAGGGAACTGTTATAAGTTGAGGACTACGTGTAGTTCCTAGTGCCTGGAGCTAGCGTGGGAGCTATTTTTTTCAGCTTTTACAGGGAGAAGTTGGTTGGGTGAAGGAGCATCGGTTTTCTCTGTTCTCTCCCTCCCTCCCTCTCTTTCTCTCCCTCCTTCTCCCTCTCTCCCTCCTTCTCTCTTTCTCTTTCTCTCCCTCTCCCTCCCTTTCTCTCCCCTCTCTCTCCCTCCTTCTCTTCCTTTCCTTTCCTTTAGCTCCCTCTTCTTTCTCTCCCTCTCCCTCCCTCCCTTTCTCCCTCCCTTTCTCCCTCTTTCTCTCTTCCTTTCCCTCCCTCTCCCTCTCCCTCCCTCTCCCTCCTTCTTTCTCGCTCCCTCCCCCACTCTTTCTTTCCCTCCCCCTCTTCCCGCCTCTCTCCCCTCCCTCCCTCTCTTCCTCGTCTCTCTCCCTCCCTCACTCTCTCTTTCTCTCCCCCTCTCCCTCCCTCTCTTCCCCTCTTTCTCTCTCCCCCTCTCTCTCCCTCTCCCGCCTTCTCCGTCTCTCTCTTTCTCTCCCCCCTCTCTCCCTCCTTCTCTCTCTCCTTCCTTCTCTCCCCCCACCCTCTCTCTCTCACACACACACACACTCCAAGTCTGAATCTCACAGGCACCGTGCAAAAAAACCCCACAATCCGCAGCAACCTTGCAAAGGATTCTGAGCGTAAGAAGTCGTGACCTCCCGTGTCCAACACAGGATTTTTCTTCAAATAAGTAAAAGAAAAACAGAGCGGAAAACCTAAACGGACCTCGCTGCCTCACTTTATTGTTCAGGAAACGATTCGTTTGTTTTTTTTAAATAAAAACATATATTAAAAACAAAATTGCACCGGTGCAGCCATCTGTCCTTCCTTGTTCCACGGGCGGCCGGGTGAGGCCCGTCGAGAAAACTGCCACCCGCACGTTGAGTTGTGCCAAAGTCCTTGCGGTGGAAGCCTCTCACACATCATTTGCAATGTATGCTGGTGTCCAATTTCTTGTACTCCTCGTTGTAAGGGGCCCCGGCGAAGCAGGTGGCTGCCGAGCGGTCGCAATCGCAAATAAAAGCGGCACACTCATCGTTGTCGTCTGGAGGGAAGAAGGAAATTGTGAACCCGGGGAGGAACGCATGACCGAAATAAACACCGCCCTGTTGCGAATGGGTACTTAAAAAGGCACCGTTGTGTCTTTTAAATACCCGTTGTGATGTTGCGCGCCTAGACGAAAAGGGATAAAGAGTTTGCATTGTGTTCTCACAACAACGTCACCCAGGTGCTTTTTCTGGAGACAACTGGACGTTCTCGTTTTTTTTCTTTTGAAGAGGTTTTGCTTCTCATCCAAGAAGCTTCTTCAGTTCTGCCCGGATGGTGGAGAAGGGAAGGATTTATCTTCCTTGCAGACAGAACTGGTCATTTGCATCCTTTTTAGAGGGTCGTTGAAGCACTTGGAGGTTTCTCTGTGTCCCGCATCTGTGTCCTTTAGCTATACAATTTGGGGTGAACATTCTTTGAATAGTGTGTGAGTAGGAATGGATTTCCAGAGGAAAAAAAATGGCAGACTACAGGAATCAGGAGCACCACTCAGGTGACTCTGAGGAGACAGAGAAACCTCTCCAAGTGGCCTCAACGACCCTCTAAAAAGGATGCAAATGACCAGCTGTCTGCAAGGAGTATCAAGGAGTTTGTGATAGTTACCTTCGCAGGTGACGTTGCCTTCAGAACAGGTGTATGAATAGATCTTGGTGTAGGGGCTGTCCAGGAGGGACTGGCAGGCAGGATGTTTCTTGACTTGAGAATAGCACTCGTCATGCGTCTGGCAGCACCTGGCCGAAAGCAGGAAGCGTTAGAGCTGGTTCTCCAGGTGTGAGATAGCCTCTCTTTGGGGGAAGGGGGGTTCTTGGTGCTCTCTGCGCTTGGTTGTTTTCCTGCAGGTGTCTCATGACCCAACTAGGTAACAACATCAATGCTAGAAGGGAGTGGGGTTTGTGGAGAGGAGGACTGTGCAGTCCTTGCTGCTTCTCTGAGCTTCGTTGTAAATCTACCTTAACAGGACCCTTGTAAATCCGAAAGTCCAATTCTCCTGCCATTCCCTTTTCGGAGAAAGTAGGGAGGGTCCCTTCGGAGCCTCGTTCTCCACCCCTTATATAGCTGTGACCTCTGCCCTCTCTTATCTGACTGTTCCCTCGATAGCATCTCTCCGCCACGTCACCCAAGGTCTTTCCCATCTACCATTTCATCCAAGCGATTCTCTTTGACTTGCGAAGTCAAAGGATGAGAGAGGACCCGTTATGCTACAGGTGACAGGGTAACAGTTGTCCGATATTTGAGGGGCTGCCCCAAAGAAGAGGGGGTCAAGCTCTTCTCCAAAGCACCTGGACAAGAAGCAACGGGTGGAAACTCATCAAGGAGAGAAGCAACCTGGAACTAAGGGGGAATTTCCTGACAGTGAGGACAATTCACCAGTGGAACAGCTTGCCACCAGGAGTTGTGAATGCTCCATCCCTGGAGGTTTTCAAGAAAAGATTGGACAGCCATTTGGCTGAAGTGGTATAGAGCAGTGATGGCTAACCTTTTTGCCATCGCGTGCCAGGAAGGGGGGGGGGGGGGGAAGGTTCGCAAGCATGCACGTGCCCACACCCATAATTCTACGCGCCCCGCCCTGCGCATCCATGCATGAACCCCCCCTCCCCACCCCACCCCGCTCATGGCCCGGTAGGCCTGTTTTTCTTTCTCACCTGACTCCAGATCCTCTCTATGCATCTGGGGAGGACAAAAACAGCCTTCCCCACCCCCTCGGAGGCCTGAAACGGCCTGTTTCCCAACTTCCGGTTGGACAGGAAGTGACATTTTTTGTTGCCCCCAACCTCCGGAGACTCCTAGAGAGCTGGCGTGCCAGGTGATATGGCCCCGTGTGCCACCTGTATGCCATAGGTTCGCCATCACAGGTACAGGGTCTCTCCTGCTTGGGTGGGGGGGAGGATTGGATTGCAGAATTTCCGGGGTCCCTTCCAACTTATTATTATTCTGTTTCGTTATCCCGTTATTCTGTCTACAATCCCTTCAAGCCCAAAGGAAGCCTAACACGGTAGAGGATCTCCCGCTACGGGGGAGGAAGGGGTTGGACTAGAACAGTGGTCCCCAACCCCCGGTCCGCGGACCGGTGCCGGGCCGTGGAGTACCTGGCACCGGGCCGCGCAGCGGCCGGGGGACATGAACGCTGCAGCGCAAAGGCTCCTGGGCCATGCGCAAAAGCTCCTGGGCCGTGCACAATGGGCCGTGCGCAAAAGCTCCTGGGCTGTGCCCCCACCCCTGCGCGCGCTCAGCGGGCCGCGGCGATAAAAAGGTTGGGGACCACTGGACTAGAAGACCTCCAAGGTCCCTTCCAACCCCTAGGAGTCTAAGCTCTGAGTCCTAAACGTGATCTGAAGATTCCCGCAGGTGAGGGGCTTACCTGTCCAACTGGTCTACCGGTGTCCCACTGCCTCCGTAGCCGCAGTAGCAACCGTAATCCGCGTAATCCAACAGCGGTCGACTGCCGGGGATGGTGCATTTAATCATGTTGCCGAATTGTATGAGGTTGCGAGGCAGGGGAGGAATAGCCGAAGCTGCTAAAAGGGAGACACAAACTACACCACAAGAAGATCAGCGTTAACGTTTCCCAAATATCCAGCGGCCAGATCCAGTTCCCTGCTAAGTGACGGTTAGGTGAATCATCCTCTTCTTTTCAAGACCCCCATAATCCCTTGCATTGGTGTGGAGTCTTATTTATTTATTTAACAGGGTTTGTATGCTGCCCTATCTCCACAGGACTCAGTGCGGCTAACAACGATTAAAACAGAACAAACAAACCGTTAAAACAGAAGTCCAAGTTAAAATTAAAAATTCCATAAAACCCAGATTAAAACCCCCATCAATCCAAGGCAGCCAGGTGAAATAGCCAAGTTTTCAGCCCACGGCGGAAAGAGAGAAGGTCGGGGACCTCATCACTCTTTATCTGTCTTTCTTTCTTTCTGTCTCTCTCTCTCTTTTTCTCATCACTTTCTCTCCTCTCTCTCTCTTTCTCTCATCACTCATCTCCTCTCTTTCTCTCATCACTCTTTCTCTCCTCTTTCTCTTTCTGTCTCTCTCATCACTCTCTTTCCTCTTTCTCTCATCATTTTCTCTTCTCTCTCTCTCCTCTCTCTGTCTCTCTCTTATCACTCTTTATCTCTGTCTTTCTTTCTGTATCTTTCTCTCTCCTCACTCTTTCTCTTCTCTTTCTCTTTCTCTTTCTCTCATCGCTTTCTCTCCTCTCTCTCTCTCTCTCATCACTCATCTCCTCTTTCTCTCATCACTCTTTCTCTCCTCTCTGTTTCTGTCTGTCTGTCTCTCTTTCTCTCCCTTTCTCTTATCACTCTTTCTCTCCTCTTTCTCTTTCTCTCTGTCTCTCTCTCATCACTCTTTCTCTCATCATTCTTTCTCTTCTCTCTCTCTCTCTCCTCTCTCTGTCTCTGTCTCTCTCTTATCACTCTTTATCTCTGTCTTTCTTTCTGTATCTTTCTCTCTCCTCACTCTTTCTCTTCTCTTTCTCTCTTTCTCATTGCTTTCTCTCCTCTCTCTCTCTCATCACTCATCTCCTTTCTCTCATCACTCTTTCTCTCCTCTCTGTTTCTGTCTGTCTGTCTCTCTTTCTCTCCCTCTTTCTCTCATCACTCTTTCTCTCCTCTTTCTCTTTCTCTCTGTCTCTCTCTCTCATCACTCTTTCTTTCCTCTTTCTCTCTTTCTCTCGTCATTCTTTCTCTTCTCTCTCTCTCCTCTCTCTGTCTCTGTCTCTCTCTTATCACTCTTTATCTCTGTCTTTCTTTCTGTATCTCTTTCTTTCTCTCCTCACTCTTTCTCTTCTTTCTCTCTTTCTCTCATCGCTTTCTCTCCTCTCTTTCTCTCATCACTCTTCATCTCCTCTCTCTCTTTCTCTTCTGTCTGTCTCTCTCTTATCACTCTTTATCTCTCTCTCCCCCCCACACAGAGACACAGATCCAAATTGAACTGGTGATATATCAGCTTGCTCCTTAGCCCTCCTGTTCAGCCCTATTCTACTAACTCCTCCATCCTTCCAACAGTAAAAAAACAAAAGAACACAATTCACGCAGGTATTTCACGCAACCCCAAACCTCTGGAAACCACTCAGTGAAGGGAAAGCCTGCCCTAATCCCCGAATGCATCCTTTGGATCTACTGGCTCTGGAAAATCTCCACTTACCTGCCGCTGGGACCAGAAAGTGAGCAAGATTCATTTTGTCCGCGGTCAGGCTGCAGGAAGATAACTTTCGAAGAACCCAATGAGTTCAACCTTTTATAGCCTTGTCGTAACCTTGGCCCCAGCTGCAAGATGCAATGAGATAAGATGCATGGATGGATTTTATTTGTCGGATAGCAGCATTCGTCTTCCAGGCAGAAGATAATCCAGAGCTGGTTGCTTGCAAATGTGACAGTTTTAACTCCCAGAGTTGGATCAGATGTTCTGTTTTTGCAGGGACGGAACTTATTATTATTATTATTATTATTTATTTTGTCAAACATGTACGAGATAACAGGTATAAGTATAAACATGGACATGAACATAGGAAATGAGTCAGGGGTGAAATCCAGCAGGTTCTGACAAGTTCTGGAGAACCGGTAGCAGGGGTGAAATGTTCCCGGTTCGGACCGGATCGCCCGATCCGGTAGCGATGGTGGCGGGTGGTTTGGAGAACCGGTAGCAAAAATCCCTGCTCCCCTCCCCATGCCCAGCTGAGCCAAGCGATCATCAGAGGCTGTTTTTTCTTTTTACTTTTAAAAGCATTTTTTCTACAACCTCTTCGGCTGAAAAAATGCTTTTAAAAGTAAAAAGAAAAAAGCCTCTGATGATCGCGCGGCTCAGCTGGGATCGTCAGAGGCTTTTAAAAGCATTTTTTCCTGCAACCTCTCTCTTAAGGTTGTAGAAAAAATGCTTTGAAAAGTAAAAAAAAAAAGTTGGCCATGCCCACCCAGTCACATTACCCCCCCACCACACACACACACCAAGCCATGCCCACAGAACCGGTAGTAACAAATTTTACATTTCACCACTGACCGGTAGTGGAAATTTTAAGTAGTTTGGAGAACCGGCAAATACCACCTCTGGCTGGCCCCCAGGTGGGATGGGAATGGGGATTTTGCAATATCCTTCTCCTGGAATGTGGTGGGAATGGGGATTTTGCAGTATCCTTCTTCTGGAGTGAGGTGGGAATGAGGATTTTGCAGTATCCTTCCCCTGGAGAGGGGAGGCAATGGGGATTTTGCAATATCCTTCCTCCAGGAGTGGAGTGGGAATGGAGATTTTGTAGTATCCTTCCCCTGCCATGCCCACCAAGCCACACCATGCCCACCAAGCTATAGGAAGTCTGACCGGAGAAACAGGGTTATCCTGTTTGTTCCTAACTGCGTTCTGCAAGATTTTTTTTTAGCACTCTGCAAGAACCTCACAAGTTTTCACAGCAGGCGAAAGGAGCAAAAGGCAAAAATAAAAAAGGAGAAAACAAGATTCTCTCCAGCGTAGCGAGGTTTCTGTCCCTAGCTAGATCTTTGCCTCTTCGGCAGCAGTTTTATTTATTATTATTAAATTCTGCAAGCCTGGAAAATTTGGAAAAAATGTTGCACTTGGGAGGAATTGGCTGGCTGCAATGAACCAAGAAGGAAATCCATGTGGGATGGGGTGTGTGGGAAGGAAATTGGAAAAAAACCCCATTTTTTTACTTCCACGAAAAATGGGGTGATCAAACTGCCGAGGTTTGCAGCGCAATCAAGCTTGAGAGATTGCATAAAACTCCTTGTCATCTTTGTCCTTTTGCTGTGATTTCTGGATTAGATAGAGAGGACGATTTCAAAGTTCTGCTTTCTTTCTTTCTTTCTCCCATCTGGCCACGATCCAGAACTCAAAAGTCAGCAGGTGTTAAAACACCTTCTCCGTTTTTACCGAGAAGGGCAGCTTTCCTTGCTTGAAGTCTAGAAATAAATAAGAGTCTAGAAATGGTCCCTATTTGTATTTTCCACCTGTTGCCATGTTTAGAATCAAGAGAGCTGGAGAGGAGCCTCGAGGTCATCTAATCTCACCCCCTGGTCTGGGCAGGAATCAGGATTCAAGCATGCCAGGTTTGGACATCCAGCCTGTCTGAACATCTGTAGTCCAGGGAAGGTGATCAGAAGTGGGCTTCGCATAATTTAACAACTGGTTCGCCCAGCAATGAAAATGTGAGAGCAGGCACGCCTTCCGTGTATGCGCCTTTGCTCACGCATTTTTTTTCTTTCCCCCTTTTGTTTCCCTTCCCTTCATTTCCTACGTTTATTTTTTCTTTGCATTTTATCGTTTTATGGGTAAAACAATAAAAAATAATTGTGGGAAATGAGTACCTCCCCCAGGTAGGTCTGTCATAATTTCAAACGGTTTGAACTTAGAATGAATTAAAAATTCCCTCGATTACCGTATTTTTTCGGAGTATAAGTCGCACCTTTTCCCCCCCTAAAAGGGGGTGAAAATTTAGGTGCGTCTTATACACCAAATGTAGCCCCGCCCACCCACTCACTGGCCCCCACCCTTTGGCCTCTGCCTCCCAGCGACTTACCTCCTTGCAGCAAGCAGCAAGGAGAAACAGCCCATTTCAGCTTCAGCACAGCCTAATTCGCACAAGTTGATTGTCCCTTGGATTGGCCTCCCGACTCTCAGCTGTAGGGATTGCCATTGCCTATTGCTGCGCGGGCCTCTGCTGCTTGCTGCAAGGAGGTAAATTACGGGGAGCAGATTTTTTTTTTCTTGTGCTAATCAAGCTATGCTGAAAACGAAACTGAAAGTAAAGCAGGCTGTTTGCTGCAACGAGGCAAAATTAGGCAGAGGCAGAGGCAGAAGCAGATTTCTTTTTCTTGTTTTCCTCCCCAAAAAAGGTAGGTGCATCTTACATAGTCCGGAGCGTCTTATACTCCGAAAAATATGAGTAATTGTTAAAAAAAAAAAAGAAAGAATTCGAGGCTTTGAAGGAGGACGAGGCCAGGCAAAGTGCAGCAAGCAAACCTTTGCGGTTGAGACTTTGTCCTTTTGCTGACCAAGTACTTAACTCTGACACAAGCAGAAAGAGAGGACAAGGATCACTTTTGACAGGTCAGCGTGCACCCCACAGATGCCTCTCGTCTTCTTGACATTCGTTAATCTCTTACACCTGGCAGCGGCTTCCCTATCTAAAAGATTACCATCCCGAGAATCACACATCGCGAAAAAAAAAAGCCTGTTGCCAAGTAGAGTCATATTATCGTAAGGACCGGAAGGGACCTTGGAGGTCTTCTAGTCCAACCCCTTGTCCTAGGCAGGAGTCTTTTATTATACCATCCCGGTCAAACTTTTCTTGAAAACTTTCAGTGATAAGAGCACCCATAACTTCTGCACCTTGGTGTTTTTTTTTTAATCCAACCTTCACCGGGTTAAGCAAGAGACTCTTTTACCGTTCTGGACAAATGGCTCTTCTTGAAAACCTCCAGTGATGGAGCATCCACAACTTCTGGTGGCAAGCTGTTCCACAGGTTAACTGTTCTGTCAGGAAGTTTCTCCTTCATTTCTCATGGCTGCTTCCTCTCAGCTGCGCCTTAGAAGCTGTTTTCTATCCCCAAGCAGGGGATAAAAAAACCCAGCAAACTAATGTGCTGAAGCTGACCAGACTAAGGATGCTAGCCGGATGAATACCTGGTAGGCAGATTCCCCCCCTCCCCCATTTTCCTCCCCAAAAACTAAGCTGCGTCTTCTACTCCGAAAAATACGGTATTTAATTTACGTGTGCAATAAGGCAGGTCGCACGGCCCTTGAAAAGCAGACTTTTATTATTATTCTTGCGACTATCATCCATTCTCTTTACGTGGCTCCATCTCCATCAAACAATAGCCATTGATGAAATATTTGATTTTCCTCTTCCTCTGAAGAAACAAGCAAAGCGTTCACCCATCCGGGACGCACAGCTCCGGTTGGAAATTAACAAGTTGGGAGGAAGGAAAAAAGTAGAATGGAATGATAAAAAAAAAAAAAGAGAGAGAAGCTCTCTAGATAAAGTGTTTCTCAACCTAGGGCAGCGGTCCTCGGTTTTTGCGACTTGGCGGCCCAGCTTGTGGGTGTGTGTGTGTGTGAAATGCTATGAAGTCTGCTACCGGTTCGCTTCGTTTCCAGTTCGCTTTGTACGTGCATGCGTGGTCCACGCCGAACCGCAGGTGCAACCACAAAGCACTGAAAAAGGAGGATTAAGAAGCCTTTTCTAAAGTAAGTAGAATAGCGAGGGGGGGGGAACAGCTGTGCCGCACGATTTAGATTCGCTCGAAAGCAGGATTTCCTGCTTTCTAGGGAATATAAATCACGTGGAACAGCTGATCATCGGAAATACCGGTTTGCCCAAACTGATAGCATTTTTTTTTACTACCGGTCCAAACCGGTAGCATTTCACTCCTGGAACCGGGCCACGTGAGTGGTGTGGCGGCGTGCACGCGCATACACAGACAAATGTGTGGACTTCGATTCCCAGAATTCCCCAGCCGGCTACGCGCCAACTCAGGAATGGTGGGAGTTGAAGTCCCTGCTTTCTTAAAAGCGTGCTGGCTGGGGAATTCTGGGAGTTGAAGTCCGCACAAGTGCCCTAAGTGGAGCAACACAGCTCTGTACAAAGCAGAAAAAGTTAGAAAATTGGGATGTAATGAAGATTATTAGAGGGGAAAAGGCCGGGGAGGAAATGTAACAAAGTTGGGGGTTTCTTCTTCTTCTCCTGGGTGACGGCTCAGCCCAGGGAAGGCTGGTCACTGCAATGGGGAAATCTTCAAAGGGATCATGATTCTGGATTCCATGCTCCGAACGAGAGGAACTGCAAACAGAGGACATTCAAAGCGTCACAGAGTGACACAGTATCTTGGGAAATTCCTTCCTTCCTCCCTTCTCACCTTTTTTCTTCCCTTTCCTCCCTCCCTCCCTCCCTTTTTCTTCTCTCCTTCCTTCCTTCCTCTCTCCCTCCCTCCCCATCTTTCTTCTCTCCTTTCCTTCCTTCCTTTCCCCTCCCTCCTTCCCTCTTAGGCAGGTTAAGTGGCTGCAGCTGAATGGGGAAGGCACCAAGGGATTGCAAGATTGGCTGGGAAACTGTCACAGAACCCTGGAAATGAAGGTCATGTGATTGCAGCACCAGCCCAGCAATGATCGGCGCACCGAAGCTGCCGCAACTTTGGATAAGATGTCCAGCAGACCCTCCTCAAAAGGTCCTGACCTGTGTAATAAACATTTTCATCCCATCCTCGCTTCCTCCAGGCAGCGTTCCGTATCTCCTCTCGAGATTGCAGATCTCTGTAGGCTGCAAAGGGACCAAAAACATCATCTTGCAAAGACCCCCAAACAACCTCTTGCGGGATCCATGTTGAGTAAGGCTCAATGAAATCCTAAACCTAGATAAATAAAACATGTAACCTTCCCGGGTTACACATTCCCAGCCAGCAAGGGAATTCTGGGAGTTGAAGTCCACCAGGCTTAAAGTTGCCAAGGTTGGAGACCTCTGCTCTAAAGGACAATGGGTTTTAAGTGTACTTACCCCACAAGTGATGTACGATGTACAACTCTCCAATTTGGGAGAAAAAGCCGCCCACTGCTTCCTGGTTATCTTGACGATGTTTAATTGCCCGAGCCCTGCGCCGACAGAGAAAAAGAGAGAGATGAAGAAACACGGGCGCTAATAATTAATATTGCCTGTTCCCACAATGTTGAGGCATTCTTACACGGGTGAAAAGCAAACAGCTTTGACCCCACTTGTATATCAACAGAGAGCAAACTCCTTTCCCTTCTACTAGCATTGATGACATCACCTAGTTGGGTCATGAAATGTCTGCAAGACAACAAGCAAGCTCAGAGAGCACCAAGGACCCCACAGTCCTTCTCCTCTCTTCTTCTCCTCCTCCTCCATTCTGCGACCTCCTCTCCCTTCTAGCACTGATGAAGTTACCTAGTTGGGTAATGAAACGTCTGTGTCAAATCGCAAAGCATCCCTGGCCTGCTCTCGCGTTGCCATAGGCAAGGGGGATGGGAAAACCGGCGAAGCAGCACGGCAGCCAAAAACAAAAGCACATTCCAGGCATCTCTCTCTCAAGGCTATCTCCCAGGGTTACCCACAGCGGCCGGAGGGGAGTGATCTCTACAACCCGTGAAATTGCTCCGTTGGCGAATGTGACTGATGACACACCCTGGGGGGGAGGGGGGAAACAGGGTCAAGCCTGGCCCGTAAATTACGTGGGGTCAGAGTTGGCTTCACTTGGAATGTGCCGACATGAAGCTCCTAATAAATAACTGGATTTCTTTTGAAGCTTGGCTCGAGGCTCATAATTTAATTAGGGCACCCTGACAGTCTGCAAGAAAACCACCGAGTTCAGACAGAACCAAGGACCCCAAACAGCCTTGATACCAGGGCTGACAGTTACAGATATCCTGGTGACGGGCCCCAAAACTACCCAGCCAGCTTTCCTGCCTAAAGCAGGACTAGAACTCACCGTCTCCTGGTTTGTAATCTGGTACCTTAACCACCAGACCAAACTGGCTCTCCTTTTATGAAAAAAATATCAGAATTTCAGGACCTGAGTTTCTCTCTTCTCCAAACCAAGAAAGCCTTTATATGCCCACGGCCCTGAAAACATCAACCTGGTTTTCCCTGCTGAACAAATCTACGATCAGTTACATTTTTGGTGCTGCAATAACTTGGCTTCCGTTTTTGGAATAAAAATAAATTGAGAACAGCCTCCTTCTGCCTAATTTGGGTTTCTGGCTATTGTAGTTTTAAAACATTCAGGAAAGGTGTCCAGCAAAATAAGACTTATTTCTTGGATGAACTTAATTATGTAATAATTACTGTATTTTTCGGAGTATAAGACGCACCTTAGTTTTTGGGGAGGAAAATAAGAAAAAAGCTGATTGGTGGGTTGATCGGCCTCCCGGAATAGCCCCAATTAGCTGTTCCCAGAGGTGAATTTTAGCAACAGATTCCTTGGTTGTGAGCTCTGTGCCTTGCTTTTTTTTCTGCCTCTGAAACTTCTGAAACTCTGTTTCAGAAAAAACTGCTTTTTTCTGCCTCTGAAAGCCTCCGAAACAGCTTCAGAAAAAAAGGCTTTTTTCCTGAAGCTCTGTTTGGAGGCTCTTTTTCTGAAGCTTCTTTCAGAGGCTTTTTTTCTGAAGCTTCTTTCAGAGGCTTTTTTTTTGAAGGACTATCTGTACTCTGATCAATCTCCTTTCTTTGGTATTGGCATGTAGATTAACCTCTTCCGATCTGTTGGTTATTGTGTCATTCTCCAGATTTGTTAGAATAGCTTGGTTAGAACCTTTACTGATTCTTCTTTTGTTGCTTGCCATATTATTTTAGATAAAAGCCTTTCAGAGGCTTTTTTTTCTGAAGCTGTTTGGAGGCTTTTTTTCTGAAGCTTTGTTTCTGAGGCTTTTTTTCTGAAGCTTCTTTCAGCCTCTGAAACCTCCATTTGAAAGGCTGAGTGGGGCTACATTCGGAGTATAAGACGCACCCAGATTTTCACCCTCTTTTTGGGGGGAAAAAGGCGCATCTTATACTCTGAAAAATACGGTATGTCTCATTTTGCTCTGTGCAAGCTGCAAATTGCAAATTTTACTTTTTTTTCTTTGGGGAATTTCATTCATTCATTTCTCTTTCATACTGACTTTTGGAGAAATTGGACTTTAAAAATATCTGAACGGCTTTCTGGCTTACCAGTTGTTTCCCCATTCGATCATGGTCCCAGGCTGAAAGTCAACAAGAAAAGACAAGAAATTGTACAAAATGGTTTCAAAGATTGATGGCACCGAATTGGCAAATCTAAAGTCTTTATGGGTGGGTCAGGAAATTAATTCATTACATTGCTATCCCTCCTTCGTTACTTTATAAATAACTCAAGGCAGGGAACATATAGAATATGCTTTCCTCCTCCTATCTGTCCTCACCACGATAACCCTGAGAGATGGGATGAGCTAAAAAGAGAGGGACTGGCCCAAAGTCTCCCAGCCTGTATTTATGCCTAAGGCAAGATTAGAACTCGCAGCCTGCTGCTATTGCTCCAAAGTCACCCAGTTGGCTTTTGGGCCTAAGGCGGGACTAGAACTCACTACCTCTGGGTGATTGGCCCAAAGTCACCCAGCTGGCTTTCATGCCTAAGGCGGGACTAGAACTCACAGTCCCCTGGTGATTGGCTCAAAGTCACCCAGCCTGTTTTTATGCCAAAGGCGGGACTAGAACTCACAGTCCCCTGGTGATTGGCCCAAAGTCACCCAGCTGGCTTTCATGCCTAAGGCGGGACTAGAACTCACAGTCCCCTGGTGATTGGCCCAAAGTCACACAGCTGGCTTTCATGCCTAAGGCGGGACTAAAACTCACAGTCCCCTGGTGATTGGCCCAAAGTCACCCAGCTGGCTTTCATGCCTAAGGCGGGACTAGAACTCACAGTCCCCTGGTGATTGGCCCAAAGTCACCCAGCTGGCTTTCATGCCTAAGGCGGGACTAGAACTCACAGTCCCCTGGTGATTGGCCCAAAGTCACCCAGCTGGCTTTCATGCCTAAGGCGGGACTAGAACTCACTGCCTCCTAGTGATTGGCCCAAAGTCATGTTTATCTCGGACCTCCATTTCTCAACTGGGACCAAATGGAGATGGGGAGGGAGCCAAAGCAGCTGAGCCCATTTTGGGATGTACCTGGAAATGGGAAATGGATTGGAGACCATATTCCTTATTGCAGTCTTCCTCAACGTTGGCCATTTGAAGTTAGGTGGACTTCAACTCCCAGAATTCCCCAGCCAGCAAGAGGAATCCTGGGAGTTGAAGTCCACCTACCTTCCGGTTGAGAAACGCTGACTTATTGGCTCTCCCTGTCGTTAGAAGCGGAGTTATGGGGGAAGGGTTTTTAAAACTGCGAAGAGCCCGTGGAGTTAGTCACTTTCTTGAGGATACCGTGCAAAGCGGCTTCACCTTCAACTTGTAGCTTCGCAGCTCGTAGATGTTGGGCCCGGCGCGGGGCAGAGGCTCATTCCAAAAACTGAACTCCAGGAGCAGCTGGTTCCTTCGGGAATGGAGCATGTGACTCCTCTCTTTACGGAACTGTAAATATTCCTGCCGGAACAGAAGAGGCGAAGAGTCAGAGGGCAGGAAGGAGGCAGCCGAAGGGCTGTCGGGTTTTTTTTGTTTATTTTTTTCCCTCGAGGTCAAAAAATGTTTCCAGGTTTGGTGGGTTATGCAAAACGTTTTGAAGAAAAAACTTCAGTTTTCTCCACAAAAAGAGCCTTGGTGGTACAGGGGTTTAAGGCACCCTGTTATTAAGCTTATTAAGACCAGCTGCCTGCAATTACTGCAGGGTTCGAATCTCGCCAAGGCTCAAGGTTGACTCAGCCTTCCATCCTTTCTAAGGTAGGTAAATTGAGGACCCAGTTTGTGGGGGCAATAAGCTGACTTTGTATAAATATACAAAAGGATGAAGGCTATTGCTGAGCACATTGTAAGCCGCCCTGAGTCTTCGGAGAAGGGCGGCATATAAATCAAATTAAAAAAAAAAATTGTTTTTATTGGGTATAGTTAAGGGTTTTTACACTGGGTGAAACAAAATTGATACTGCATACGGTGACAGCAGCGAGATTACTGATAGGTCAATATTGGAAAAATGAAGCTATGCCCACCATTGAAGAATGGACCTTGAAGATGGCCAGTTTTGCAGAGATGGCGAAGATTCCAGCATACTTAAAAGACCGAACTCAAGAGACTTATGTATGGGAGTGGAAAAAGTGGATAGATTATGTGCAGAAGAAATACCAAACTAAGAAATATCAGATAGCTTTTAGCTGAACGAATGTGATTATGTAGGGTCAAATTAACTGAGTTTTATGAAGGGACTAACAGTATATAGGGGGTGGAGGGGTTTAAGTTTTATAAGTTTTATAATATGTATTTTTCAATTAGGATTTTATATTGTGGAAGTCCTGGGGGGGAAAGGGGAGGGTTAGGGAGGGTATGGGGGGTGGGAAATTGGGGAGAAAATGTATTTGTAAAACTTTTTAAATAATAAAAAAAAATGTTTCCAGGAACTCGGCTCGGAGACGGGGATAGTGGACTGGCTGAGGAATTCTGGGCACTGAAGTCCACAGGTCTTAAAAGTTGCCGAGTTTGGAGACCCCTGCTCTAGCCACTCAGCTCTCTGGCCTCTTCTGGAAGTGAACGTTGGGTTGTGTGGCATCAACTGGCCAATGATAAGCCACCTAGAATACACCCCCCCCCAGGGAGACAGGCAGCATCTTGTAGGAGATGAGAAGGCTGAGCTCGAGGGAGGAGGGTCAAACACGTCATCAGCCATGAATCCCTGCCTGCTCACCAGCCCAGCCCCTCTTGCATTACCTTTCTATTCTTATCTCCCGCTCATTTCCCTTGAACTGTTAGTAGTTCAGATTCTTGTAGCGAGCTTAAGCTTGCAATAAAACTTTATACTTATTTGAACTGCTGGAATCTCCTGATGTCCCCGGCACTTGACACGTATAAGTTTAACAAATTAAAATCCGTTGCAGTCCTCGACTTACAACAGTTCATTGAGTGACCGTTTGAAGTTGCGACGGCACTTTAAAAAGTGCCTTACGACTGTTTTTCACACTTACGACCATTGCAGCATCCCCAAGGTCACAGGATCAAAAGTCAGGTGCTTGGCAACGGGTTCGTATTTACGACGGTTGCCGTGTGCTCGGGTCACGTGATCTGCTTTTGCCATCTTCCGACAAGCAAAGTCAGTGGGGAAGGCAGATTCATTTAACAACCGTGTGTTACTAACTGAATAAAGGCAATGGTTCACTTGACAATTGTGGCAGGAAAAGTTCGTAAAATGGAGCAAACTCACGTCACAAATGTTTCACTTAGCAACCTAAACTTTGGGCTCAATTGCAGTCGTAAGTCGAAGACTATCTGTAGCCCCACAGTGAGATAGGCAGCATATCGTAGGAGACAAGACAGGCTGAAGCCGAGGGAGGGAGGGAGAGTCAAACATGTCATCAGTCATGAATCCCTGCGTGCTCATCAGAGATCCTGAATTCCTTTCTAGTCTTATCTCCCGCTCATTTCCCTTGACCGTTAGTAGTTCAGATTCTTGTTGCGAGCTTAAGATTGCAATAAATCTTGATATCTTATTTGAACTGCCTGAATCTCCTGGTGTGCCCTGTGTTTGACACGTATAACTTTAACAAGCAAATAAATAACAGGTATTCGAACAGCACGGCAACCTGTTGCACCAGCAAAGACAGGGGTGTGAGGGGGGCACCCCAAATACCTGGTTCTCCCTCAGCTTGTTCATGGACTCCATGAGGGCTGAATAACCGCCGACGAATCTCCAGATGTGAACTGCAGGGAGACAAAAGATTCGGTGTTTTACAGAACCCCAAAGAGAAGGAGTCGACATAAAATGTCAGCGAGCCTTGAGCTGCGTTGTCCTACGGTACAGGTGATCCTCGGCTTACAACAGTTGGCTTAGTGGCCATTTGAATTTACAATGGCACTGAAAAAGAGTAGGTTTAAGACCGTTGTTTATGGTGAAAACTCGGTGAAGGTCAATAGAAGAATCAGAAAAATCAGTAGAAGAATCAATAGAAAAATCAACAGAAGAATCAGTAGGAAAATCAGTAGAAAATCAATAGAAGAATCAGTAGAAAAATCAGTTAATAATCAGTAGAAAAATCAATAGAAAAATCAGTAGAAAATCAATAGAAAAATCAGTAGAAGAATCAGTAGGAAAATCAGTGGAAAATCAATAGAAAAATCAGTAGAAGAATCAGTAGGAAAATCAGTAGAAAATCAATAGAAGAATCAGTAGAAAAATCATTAATAATCAGTAGAAAAATCAATAGAAAAATCAGTAGAAGAATCAATAGAAAAAATAGAAGAATCAGTTAATAATCAGTAGAAAAATCAATAGAAAAATCAGTAGAAAAATCAATAGAAGAATCAGCAGAAAATCAGTAGAAGAATCAGTAGAAAAATAAAATAGAAGAATCAGTAAAAAATCAGTAGAAGAATCAGTAGAAAATCAGTAGAAAAATCAATAGAAAACAGTACAAGCAGTTCTTGACTTATAACCGTAAGAGGGATGGGAAATCCTGTTGTTAAGCGACATGGCGATTTCGTGAGGCATCCGGTGACTGCACCCCATGTTACAACCTTTGCCTCTGCTGTGGTCGTTAAGCGAACCCCCCCAAGGTCATTAAGCGACACATCACATCACTGTGACTGGCCATCTTCTCTATCGGCTTCCCCGCTGATTTTGCTCATGGGAACCTGGTTGGGAAAGCCGCAAATGGCGACCGGGGGGACGACACACACACTGCGACCGTCGTAAACGCGGGACAGTTGCCAGGTGCCTGGATTGCAACCCCATGACCACAGGGATGGCTGTCACCGTGTTGTAAGTGTGAGGACAGGCCTTAAATCACCTGTCGCAGCCCCGTTCGTAAGCTTGAACAGTCACTAAACACAAGGTCGTTAGGTGAGGACCGGGTCCTGTACAGTGCCCTTCACGCAGCTCAAATCACCTGCCTGCCCCACCTTCTCACCTGCCTGGTCCTGATCGCCGTACCAGGTATTCCAGTTGCCAACCAGCTCACACGGATACCCGGTGTCTGAATGCAGCTTGGGAAGGACTTCCTCCCTGCAAAGCAAGGCACAAAATTAACAGAAGGGCAGCAAAGCAAATATTGGTAAAATAATGGAGAATTTTAGGATTGGGGGGCTGCTAAAAGTTGAGCCTTCCCTCTCCTCGCTTTTGCACGTTACTGAGTGCGCGCTGGAGCCCAACGAACAGCAAAGGATGCATTTGTTTGGGACTTGAGTCATCTGAATGCAATTATTTGAATAATTATTTAATTATTTGGATTAAATTATGTTTTTATTGTACTTGTTTCTTAATTTGTGTTCGCCGCCCTGAGTCCTTCGGGAGAATGGCGGCATATAAATCCATGTAATAAATAAATAATAAATAAATAATCCAAAATATTTCCCTTGGACAAACCAACACAATCTTTTGCTGTTATTCTTAGCTGCTCGGGAATAAATACAACAGCAATAAGCACTTAGACTTATATGCTGCTTCATTGTGCTTTTACAGCCCCCTCTAAGCCGTTTACAGAGTCAGCCTATTTGCCCCCAACAATCTGGGCCTCATCATTTTACCCACCTCGGAAGGATGGAAGGCTGAGTCAACCTTGAGCTGGTCAGAATCGAACTGCTGGCAGTGGGCAGAATTAGCCTGCAATACTCCTTTCTAGCTACTGCACAGGAAGGAAGGAAGGAAGGAAGGAAGGAAGGAAGGAAGGAAGGAAGGAAGGAAGGCTGAGTCAACCTTGAGCCAGTCAGGATCGAACTGCTGGCAGTGGGCAGAATTAGCCTTTCTAACTACTGCAGAGGAAGGAAGGAAGGAAGGAAGGAAGGAAGGAAGGAAAAGGAAGGAAGGAAAGAAGGAAGGCAGGCAGGCAGGCAGGCAGGGTCAATCTTGAGCCAGTCAGGATTGAACTCCTAGTAGTGGGCAGAATTAGCCTTTCTAACTACTGCAGAGGAAGGAAGGAAGGAAGGAAGGAAGGAAGGAAGGAAGGAAGGAAGGAAGGAAGGAAGGAAGAAGGAAGGCTGAGTCAACCTTGAGCCGGTCAGGATCGAACTGCTGGCAGTGGAAAGAATTGGCCTGCAATACTCCTTTCTAACTACTGCACAGGAAGGAAGGAAGGAAAGAAGGAAGGAAAGAAAGAAAGAAGGAAGGAAGGAAGGGTCAACCTTGAGCTGGTCAGGATCGAACTTCCTAGCTGTGGGCAGAGTCAGCCTGCAATTCTGCATTCTAAGCGCTGCACCTTTATTTATCAAACATACAGCGCAATATTGTGGGGCTACCCAAACAGGACCATTAAAAGAAAATACATTTTGGGGGTTACTAAACCATGAAAAAATAAGGTAGGTTGATTCTTACGCAAGTGTGTTGTAGGCATCCAAGCACTCGGGCTTCACATTGTGGACTGGAAACGAGAGAAAGAAACAGCGGTTGAAGGAAAGCAGGAGGGAACAGCCCGAAAGAAATGGAGAGGAAGTCAATCACAGCAAATTAACTGGTGATTTCAAACAAAAGCGGAAATTTTGAGCAGTTCGGAGACCGGCAAATACCACCTCTGGCTGGCCCCGGAGTGGGGAGGGAATGGAGATTTTGCAATATCCTTCCTCTGGAGTGGAATGGGGATTTTGCAATATCCTTCTCCCAGGAGTGGAGAGGGAATGGGGATTTTGCAATATCCTTCTCCCAGGAGTGGGGAGGGAATGGAGATTTTGCAATATCCTTCCCCTGGAGTGGGGTGGGAATGGAGATTTTACAATATCCTTCCCCTGGAGTGGAATGGGGATTTTGCAATATCCTTCTCCCAGGAGTGGAGAGGGAATGGGGATTTTGCAATATCCTTCCCCCAGGAGTGGGGAGGGAATGGAGATTTTGCAATATCCTTCCCCCTGGAGTGCGGAGGGAATGGAGATTTTGCAGTATCCTTCCCCTGCCACGCCCACCAAGCCACGCCCACCAAACCACAACCACGCCACGCCCAGCAAGCCACACTCACAGAACTGGTAGTAAAAAAAAAAAAAATGGATTTCCCCACTGCTTCAATTCCCAGAATTCCCCAGCCAGCATTGCATTGCTGGCTGGGGATTCTGGGAATTGAAGTCCAAACTTCTTTCAGTGGCCCCCAAATGAGAGACGTCCATGAAATCAGGAGGCGGTTGTAACTGCTCCAGGAAACCAGAAGAGAACAAAAAAAAATCTAGGAATCGGGCAGGAGGGACTCACATTGGATCTTGTAGAGGTGGTTAGTCTCTTTCTTGGACAGGAGGTTGGAATGGGCATCTTTTCGGGGATCCACCTTATGGACGAAGAGCGAGCGGAACCAGCTGCTTTCGCCATCTTTGGAATAACCCCTGAAAAACAAAAAAATCGAGACGTCTTATTTTGATGGGTGGAACTCCTTGCCACCAGAAGTTGTGGATGCTCCATCACTGGAAGTTTTTAAGAAGAGGTTGGATAACCATTTGTCTGAAGTGGTGTGGGTTTCCTGCTGGGCAGGGGGTTGGACTAGAAGACCTCCAAGGTCCCTTCCAACTCTGTTATTCTATTCTATTCTATTCTATTCTATTCTATTCTATTCTATTCTATTCTATTCTATTCTATTCTATTCTGCCTTTTCTCTTCTCTTCTCTTTTTTCTCTTCTCTTCTCTCGTTCCTTCTTTCTCTATTCTATTCTATTCTGTCTTTTCTTCTCTTCTGCTTCTTTTTTATCTTCTCTTCTCTCGTTCCTTCTTTCTCTATTCTATTCTATTCTATTCTGCCTTTTCTCTTCTCTTCCTCTTCTTTTTTCTCTTCTCTTCTCTCATTCCTTCTTTCTCCTATTCTATTCTATTCTATTCTATTCTATTCTGCCTTTTCTCTTCTCTTTTTTCTCTTCTCTTCTCTCGTTCCTTCTTTCTCTATTCTATTCTATTCTATTCTATTCTGCCTTTTCTCTTCTCTTCTCTTTTTTCTCTTCTCTTCTCTCGTTCCTTCTTTTTCTATTCTATTCTATTCTATTCTATTCTGCCTTTTCTCTTCTCTTCTTTTTTCTCTTCTCTTCTCTCGTTCCTTCTTTCTCCTATTCTATTCTATTCTATTCTATTCTATTCTATTCTATTCTGCCTTTTCTCTTCTCTTTTTTCTCTTCTCTTCTCTCGTTCCTTCTTTCTCTATTCTATTCTATTCTATTCTCTCGTTCCTTCTTTCTCCTATTCTATTCTATTCTATTCTATTCTATTCTATTCTATTCTATTCTGCCTTTCTCTTCTCTTTTTTCTCTTCTCTTCTCTCGTTCCTTCTTTCTCTCTATTCTATTCTATTCTATTCTATTCTATTCTATTCTATTCTATTCTATTCTATTCTCTCTTCTCTCCTTACTCTTATTCTTTGTAGTCCTCCCGTAATGAGATATAAACTTTCTTGAAAACCAAATGCAATCAAACCTTTCCTTATTAGCTCTCTTTACATAAAACGAGCTGACTTAAAAAAAAAAAAAAAACCCACGACCAAGAAAGCTTTCCAGAGAGGTGATCCAGTATATACCAATCAACTTTTACTAATAATATTTCCCCCGTTTTATTTGACCAAGACCTTTGCTCCGATCCTGGTCACTCATTAACTTCAGAAAATAGCTGGAAAACAATCTTTTCAATGGGCTAATCTGAAATCCTTGGTTAGCAACCCTCTCCTTATCGTTCAAGAGCAATTCCCCCCCCCCAAAAAACGGTTTTTTCCCTACCGGGTTTGATAATAATACCCATCATCCACAGCCAGACCCCCCCAAACCATGCTGCCTGGGTGAAGGATGGGAGCTGTAGTTCAAGCAGGTTTTTTTTCTTTCTTTCCCTTTTTAGTTTATTTTTATTGAAGGTTTTTTTTTAAAAAAACAGGCAAAACAAAGAAACTGAAAGGAAAAAAAAAAAAGGAAAGGAAGTGAACCGTAAAGTTAAAAAGGAATGAGAAATGCATTTATATTATATCACTGTGGAGGTATATTGTGGGCCCTTTCTCTCTCTCATTTTGTAATCACCAAAGCAAAATAAATCGCGTTCAATTTCTTTTTCTCCTTTTTCAGCAAAAAGCCCATACGAGCTCTCTAGCTGCTGACAAATGTAGTTTGTGTTGTTTTTCCCCTAATCAAACAAGTCGATTTTGCCATCTCAGGAAATTCTGTTGTTTTCACCAACCTTTCCTCCAGGAAAGAAAGAAAGAAAGAAAGAAAGAAAGAAAGAAAGAGGAAAAAAAGAACCAGAAAGAAAGAAAGAACTAGAAAGAACAAACCAGGAAAAAAGAACCAGAAAGAAAGAAAGAAAGAAAGAAAGAAAAAATAAAGAAAGAAAGAAAGAAAGAAGAAGGGAGGGAGGGAAGGAAAAAGAAGGAAGGAACGAAAGAAAGAAAAAAGAAAGAAAGGAAAAAAGAAAGAGGGAGAAAGGAAGGAAAGAAAGGGGATGGAAGGAAAGAAAGGAAAAAGAAAGAAAAAGAAAGAGGGTAGGAAGGAAGGAAAGAAAAAAGAAAGTAAAAGAAAGAAAGGGAGGAAAGGAAGGAAGGAAGGAAAGAAAAAAGTAAAAGAAAGAAAAAGGGAGGGAGGGAGGGAAGGAAGGAAGGAAGGAAAAGAAAGAGGGAGGGAGGGAAGGAAGGAAGGAAAGAAAGAAAAGGAAGAGGGAGGGAAGGAAAGAAGGAAGGAAAGAAAAAGAAAGAAAGAAAGAGGGAGGGAGGGAAGGAAGGAAAGAAAGAAAAGGAAGAGCAAAGCAAGCAATAGCAATCGCACTTAGACTTATATACCGCTTCATATTGCTTTTAGTCCTCTCTAAGCCGTTTACAGAGTCAGCCTCTTGCCTCCAACAATCTGGGTCCTCCTTTACCGACCTCGGAAGGACGGAAGGCTGAATCAACCTTGAGCCGGTCAGGATCGAACTTCCTGGCTGTGGGCAGAGTTTGCCTGCAATGCCGCCTTCTAACCTCTGCGCCACCACGGCTCTTGCAAATGCCGGTGGTAAAACGCAGCCACCGACCTCACCCTCGATACCGAAGCGGACGAGGCCCTGCGCAAAGAGCCACGGAAAGAGTCCCGGTGGGCATCACGAGACAAGATAGAAAGAGCTGCGCGTGGATCAGAGGACAAACGAAAGTAATACGATGTCCGCGAGAGAGTCAAAGGATGGAAATGGAAAGGGGCCGGTTGCATAGCAAGGACGGAGGGCAGGTGGACCCCCCCCAAATGGATCCCCCTTGATTAAAAAAAAAGCATCCACGAAAAAGACCCCCAACAAGATTTGATCGACGACATCATCAAGTATGATGGGCCCAGTCGGCCAAAGGTCTTCGTTCTGTAGTGGATTAAACAATGGCTAATTTTAATTTAATGGCTAATGGGGACGCAGTGGCTCAGTGCTAAGATGCTGAGCTTGTCGATCGAAAGGTCGGCAGTTCGGCGGTTCGAATCCCTGGTGCTGCGTAACGGGGTGAGCTCCGGTGACTTGTCCCAGCTTCTGCCAACCTAGCAGTTCGAAAGCAGGTAAAAAAATGCAAGGAGAAAAATAGGGACCACTTTTGGTGGGAAGGGAACCACGTTCTGTGCACCTTTGGCGTTGAGTCATGCCAGCCACATGACCACGGAGACGTCTTCGGACAGCGCTGGCTCTTCGGCTTTGAAACGGAGATGAGCAGCGCCCCCTAGAGTCGGGAACGACTAGCACAGATGTGCGAGGAGAACCGTTACCTTTACTTACAATGTGATGGTGAAGGTAAGGGTTCAAACATCACCATTTGACCTGTTTTATGACGCTGGCCTGGCCGCGAGACCTTGACCTTCAGTTCTGCAAACCCACGACCCGTTCGCAGGTTATTTGGGGAGAAAAAGGGAGGCGGGAGCAGCCAGGTACCCCCATCTTTTAAATTTATCATGGGGGGGGGGAAAAAAAAAAAGAAGGACTTAAAATGTTATTTTGTGCCTCCAGGGACAACAAGAGGAAGGTTTGACATTCCTTTGCCCAGCAACCCAAAGCATCCTTGCAGGACTCTCTGAGAATGGGAGGAGGGGGGGAATCCTAGGGCCAGAGGGGACCTTAAAGATCCTCTAGTCCACCCCCTGGGGCAACTTTCCAGCAAAAGGGGGAGTGTCCCCCATGTGGGCTTGCTTTGGGTCTTGGCAAGAGAGTTTGAGAGAGCAAAGAGGGGCAGAGACGGGCTGGTTGCCCCCCCCGCTCTACTCCAAAGGCAGCTGGGGGTCCCCAGTGGGGCGGGACAAGCGGAGAGGAGGGGGGACCCTTGGGGCAGCCAGCCGCCCTTGGTCGCCCCCAGCCCCGTCGGGCAGCGCCACCCCTCCGACCCCTCCTCTCCGCAGAGTCCCCGAGGCTGCCTCTCCGCACAGGGATTGGGCCTGGAGAGGAAGAGGAGGAGGAGGAGGAGGAAGACTAGAGAGGGGAAGAGGAGGAGAGGGAGAAGGAGGAAAAGGGAAGAGGAGAAAGGAGAAAGAGGAGAAGGAAGACGGGAAGAGAAAAAGGAGGAGGAGGAAGAGGAGGAAGACTAGGGAGAGGAAGAGAGGGAGAAGGAGAAAAGGGAAGAGAAGGAGAAAGAGGAGGAGGAAGACTAGGAAGAGTGGGAGAAGGAGAAAAGGGAAGAAGAGAAAGGAGAAAGGAGGAGGAAGACGGGAGAGAGAAAGAGAGAGAAAGAGGAGGGGGGAGGAGGAAGACGAAAAGGAGGAAGAATAGGAGAAGGAGAGGAGGAACAGAGGGAAAGGAAGAGGAGGAGGGAAAGAAGGAAAGCAGAAGAGAAGGAGGAAAAGAAAGGGGAGGAGAAGTGCGGAGCTGGGCTGCTGGAGGCGGAGGGGGGGGGAGGAGGAAGAAAGAAGGAGAGAAGGAGAAAAAGGAAAAGGAGGAGGAGAGCACAGAGCCGGCTGGAGTCACGAGGAGGAGGAAAAGGAAGAAGGAGAGGAAGAGGAAGAGAAAGACGAGGAAGGAGAGGAGGAGGGAAAGAAAGAAGAGAAGAAGCAGAAAAAAGGAGGAGGAGGAAGAAAGAAGGAGAAAAAGGAGGAGGAGGAGGAGGAGAAGAGCGCAGGGGCTGCTGGAATCATGGGGAGGAGGAGGAGGGAAAGGAGGAAGGGGAGAAGGAGGAAGAAGAAGAGAAGAAAGAAAGAAAAGGGGAAGGAGAAAGAGGAAGAGGAGGAGGAGAGCGCAGGGGCTGCTGGAGTCTCAGGGAGGAGGAGAAAGAACAGAAGGAGAAAAAGGAAGAGGAGGAGGGGAGTGCAGGGCCGGTTGGAGTCACGAGGAGGAAGAGGAGGAGGAGGAGGAAGGAAAGAAAGAAAGAAGAGAAGGAAAAAAAGGAGAAAAAGGAGGAGGAGGAAGGGGGAGGGGAGGGAATCTCACCGGGCTCCGGGCCGGGGGTCTCCCCCGCGCAGCGCCCGCAGCCAGTGCCGGGCCGGGAGGCTGCCTGCCCGCGTCGCCATCTTCGCTCGCCTGCGCCTCCTGCCCGGGGCGGACCGAGCGAGGCGGCCGGGCTGCAGCAGCCAACCCCGGGCGGGCGAGGGAGGGAGGGAGGGAGGGGCTCTGCGCCGCCCACCCCCCTCCCCTCCCCTCCCCTCCCCTCCTCCCCTGGGCTGGGCTTGCTCAGGGCTGAGGTTTGCAGCTGGGAGGCTTTGCTGGCAGACGTTGCCTTGCCCAACTAGGGAACGGCATCAGGGCGAGGGGGAGAAGGGTTTGCAGGGAGGAGGAGGAGGAGGACTTGTGGGGTCCTTGGTGCTCTCTGAGCTGGGTGAATTTCTGGCAGATGCTTCATGACCCAAAATAGGTAGCAGTGCAAGAAGAGAAGGGGAGGAAGAGGAGGAGGAGGAAGAAGAAGAAAGGAGGAAGAGGAGAAGGAAAAGGAGAAGAAGAAGGAGAAGAGGAGGAGGAAGAAGGAGAAGGGAGGAGGAGGAAGAAGGAGAAGGAGTAGAAGGAGAAGGAGAAGAGGAGAAGGAGAAGGGAGGAGGAGGAGGAGGAGAAGGAAAAGGAGAAGAAGAAGAAGAGGAGGAGGAAGAAGGAGAAGAAGAAGAAGAAGGAGAAAAGGAGGAGGAAGAAGAAGAATGAGGAGGAGAAGGGAGGAGGAGGAGGAGGAGAAGGAAAAGGAGAAGAAGAAGGAGAAGAGGAGGAAGAAGAGAAGAAGAAGAAGAAGGAGAAGAGGAGGAGGAAGAAGAAGAAGGAGGAGGAGAAGGAGAAGGGAGGAGGAGGAGGAGGAGAAGGAGAAGAAGAAGAAGGAGAGGAGGAAGAAGGAGGAGAGGGAGAAGGAGAAAGGAGGAGAAGAAGAAGAACAAGAAGAAGAGGAGGAGGAGGAGGAAGAAGAAGAAGAAGAAGAAGAAGAAGAAGAAGAAGAAGAAGAAGAAGAAGAAGAAGAAGAAGAAGAAGAAGAAGAACTACTACTACTACTACTACTACTACTATTACTATAGAGTCTCCTGCTTAAGCACGGGGTTGGACTAGAAGACCTCTACGCTTCCTTCCCATCTTCATTGCTTCGCTAAATGCAATGCTGTAAGCAAGTCGCATTCCTGAAATTCATGCCACGCTGTTGTTTTCTGAACTGGCCCACCTCGCAGGGTTGACCTGACCCCAGAGGCCATCGAACAGTGTCGATGTTTGAAGTCTTTAAATTAAAAACAAAAGCAAGAGAGAGGAGCGCGATTTTAAAACCCGACCGGAGTTCGCAACAACTTCCATAAATTATGCTGGCTACACCACTCCAGGGTGGCTACAGCCAGCCAGCCAGCCAGCCAAGGAAAGCTGGTTTAGGTCTTTAGCCAGGCAGTGCAGGAAATGCAGATCAGGTTCCGGTTTCTGAATGTCTGAATGATCCAGGATGATAATCGGCTGGCGCTTAGCAAGGGTATCTGAGGGGCACGGGAGCAGATGTCTCTGGAACGGGCACGCTTGCTGGCGTTCAATGAACATTTTGCAAAATGATGGATGGCAGAGTTGTCCACCAGCTGGGGAAATAATTGGATCTTTCCCCTTGACCTGGAGAACGGCTACCCCGTTTCCCCGAAAAAAAAAATTTTTTTTTTAAAATTTGATTTGATCAAATTAATTTGATTTGATTTATAAAATTTTTAATTTTTAATTTGATTTATATGCCGCCCTTCTCCGAAGACTCAGGGCAGCTTACAATGTGCTCAGCAAAATCCCCTGACCTTCGCACCTTCCGCCGCGAATTAAAAACATGGCTGTACAAATTGCCCAGCCTGGACTGATGGGGTTTGGATTATTTTAATATGTTTATGTATTTTATTTATTTATTTATTATTTATTTATTTATTACATGTATTTATATGCCGCCATTCTCCCGAAGGACTCAGGGCGGCGAACACAGTTAAGAAACAAGTACAATAAAATCCCATTTTAAACCAAATAACTAATTAATAGTAAATAATAAAACCCCGGAATCAGAGTCAGCCTATTTTTTTATTTTTTATTTTTTTTAATTTGATTTATATTTTATTTATTTATTTATTATTGAATTTCTATACCACCCTACTCCCGAAGGACTCAGGGCGGTGCACAGCCATGAAATAAAACACATAGATATACAAAATTTAAAATCGAATAAAATGAATTAAATAAATTTGGCTGAATTAATACCCATAATTTAAAATACCCATATTTTAAAATCCATTAATATGCCGCCCTTCTCTGGAGACTCAGGGCGGCTTACAATGTGCTCAGCAATAGCCTTCATCCTTTTGTATATTTTATACAAAGTCAGCTTATTGCCCCCACAAACTGGGTCCTCAATTTACCTACCTTAGAAAGGATGGAAGGCTGAGTCAACCTTGAGCCTTGCGAGATTCGAACCTGCAGTAATTGCAGGCAGCTGGTCTTAATAACCAGCTTAATAACAGGGTGCCTTAAACCTCTGTACTACCAAGGCTCTTGGTATTTGTTTGAACAGCTAAGTCTTCAGGTTTTAACATGTTTTATCTGGTTTGATTTTAATTGTTGTGAGCCGCCCTGAGTCCTATGGAGATAGGGCGGCATACAAATCAAATAAATAAATAAATAATAATAATAAAATAAGCCCCCCCTGAAAATAAACCCTCCCCGAAAATATTTAAACACATGTGCAGCCGGTCCCCGCCATTTCCTCTGGTTTCCTCCATGCGCCCCAAAATAATAAGACCTCCCTGAAAATAAGGCCAAGCGCTTATTTCGGGGTTCAAAAAAAATATAAGACAGGGTCTTATTATTGGGGAAACACGGTAGTTAGTTTAGGAGTCAGTTCTTGGCAGTGAAACTTTTTTGGGGGGTTAGGTTTGCATAATCTTAGCTTGCTATTTAACCCAGGATGCCGGATTCACACGTTGCGTAAAACTTCAGCCACCGAGGCTCGGGCAGCCTAAAGAGGATCCGTTCACGATGTCTACAATATGCTTAACTTAACCTGTTGAATTTTACCTTTGTAGTTATTGATTAATCCACCACCGTAGATTTCAACGTCGGGAAATAAACAGGCTAGTTCAGGAGTCAGCAACCTGCGGCTCTGGAGCCGCATGTGGCTCTTTCATCCTTTTGCTGTGGCTCCCTGTTGCTGGTCGGCTCCACCATTGATAGGGCTTTCGGTTAGGACAGGTAGAGGAAAAAGGATGCAGCGTTAGAAGGAGACTATGATGGGGGAACCGGACTTCGGGTTGGCTCCAGAATTGAACGGGGGCTTCCGGTTAGGACCTTTGTGGCTCTTTGAGTGTTTAAGGTTGCCGACCCCTGTGCTAGTTTGACCCCACACACATTGTCGCAAAGAAAAGGTTAATTCTCCCCAAGCTTTGCTGCGTGATCGTGGTTGCCAAAGCTTTGATTGATTGGGATAAGCAAAGTTTATCTGAAGAGCCTTGGTAGTACAGAGGTCTAAGGCACCCTGTTATTAAGCTGGTTATTAAGACCAGCTGCCTGCAATTACTGCAGGTTCGAATCTCGCCAGGCTCAAGGTTGACTCAGCCTTCCATCCTTTCTAAGGTAGGTAAATTGAGGACCCAGTTTGTGGGGGGCAATAAGCTGACTTTGTATAAATATACAAAAGGATGAAGGCTATTGCTGAGCACATTGTAAGCCGCCCTGAGTCTCCGGAGAAGGGCGGCATATAAATCAAATTTAATAAAAAAAAAAAAAAGTTCTCAATTTTATTTAGCGCTACTTCATAGATTTATTTCCCCCTCCAAGTTAATGACGGAAGAGACGTAATGGCTTAAAAATGCTGCAGATTAAGTGCTCTTAGCTGGGAACATCTGTTCTATTTTTTTTTAATTATTTTTTTGTGGTGCATTAAGACCACTGACCAGATTTGCACTTCGAGCCATAATGAGATTTCTTTTGCTTATCGTTTCCTACGTTATTTAAAAGCCAGTATTTTGCATTTTCGGAGTCCAAAACTAACTGGCAAAGCTCTTTCCAGATGGCGCTGGCTTCAAAGAGCAGATTAAGCCATGGAATGGGGGCAGTTTAAGTTTGGCATTGTGAACCAGGCAAACCCCAGTCTGGACATTGTAGCGTTGCAAGGATGCAACGTTCTGAAGCCAGCTAATTACGGTTCATTTATTCAACTATGGTTTAAACATGTGAATTCCAGATTAAACGTGGAGCAAAGGGGGATGTGTATTTATACTTCACAATCGATTATCCGTCTGTGGTTTTTAATCGTTCCGACGTGCCTTTGCTTTTAGTAAGTCGAAACTGAAAATAAATAAAACGATTAAAAACAACAACCCTGCGAGCTTCCTTCACACAACACACACTATCCAGGTTAGTTTTGCACAACTCACTTAACCAAGTTTAGAGAACCTGGCTTGAAGATTTCCCAATCACCACTAAGGGGAAAAACCAGAGATGGAGAAAACATGGACTCTGCTGCCCCCTATTGGTTAATTGCATTTTTGTTTTTTGCAGTCCTCGTTTGATTCAGTGGGTCCTTTGGCTTAATTTAACTCAGCCCATTCATTTAGTTTTTACGGTTCGGTGTGTTGTGTGAATGCATATAACACGAGTTCATTCTCATAACTTCCCCCTGCACTTTTTTTCCTCCCTTCTCCATTTCTTGCACTAGAGGGCGCTCAAGGCCGCGCCATCTCTAGCCTCTCTTCTTTCCTTTAAGGAAAGGCAAGGGGGCGGTCTGCCTCCCTCGCGTCTATGCTCATTGCAAGAGGGAGGGCCTTCCACGCGGATAGACAAGCGTACCTACCAATCCGTCCCTCCCTACGTCATTTCGATGAAGGGCTGCGGCGACCTTCCACTCGCCTCCACCTTTCCGGTTCTTTTAGGAACGCGCTGAGGGTAGTGGGTCGCGGGAGAGAGAGACCCGCCGTAAAAAAAGCCGCCGCATCAACGGCGTCTTTAAAAAGCCGAAACTGGCCACGGCAAAAATTTCAGAGGAAAAGGGGTGAGTCCGGCGGGGGCCGCGCCTTGTCGCCCCGCAAATGGCGACCGTCGCTCGGCAACCGGAACTGCTGCGTTGTCCTCCCCTCGACGTCCCTAAGGACCGAGTGGGGCGGTCGGAACCGCGGCGCCCCGCCTCCGGAGGCGGGCCTATGTCCCTTTCTCCGCCAATGAGAAGAGAGGGGCGAGGAGTGGCAGGTTAGGCTGTGGTGGCCGAGGTGAGGGCAGCGTTTCAGCGCGGGGGGGCGGGGGGGGGGGGCGGCGAGGCACCCCGAGGAGAGACCCCCCCTCCGTCCCAGAGAGCCCCCCTCATTATTGGGGCGGGGGGGCCCTCCTCCCTACCCCCTTTCCACGCGGGAAGGTCCCTGGACCCCCCCCGGGCGCGACCCCCCCTTCAAACCCTGCCTCCCCCCCCATAGAAGCCCCTCCCCCTCATAGGCTCCATAAAAGCCCCCCCCCAGGCCCCTTGGAGACCCTCCCCCCCTCTATTTTATGGCTGCCTCCCCCTTATAAAGGGACACACATTGACAATAGGAAGCCCCCTCCCCCAATTGCAAGGAGCCCCCCCCACCTTGAAGCCCCCACCCCATATATTGATATTGAGAGCTCCCCCCCTCCCCCCTTGCCTTCCTGAAGCCCCCACCCCATATATCTGTATATATTGGCATTGAGAACTTTCCCCCCTCCTCCCTCTTGCCACCTTGAAGCCCCCACCCCATATATTTTATGTTGGCATTGAGAGCTCCCCCCCTCCCTTGCCTTCCTGAAGCCCCCCACCCCATATATCTATATATATTGGCATTGAGAGCTTCCTGAAGCCCCCCACCCCATATATCTATATATATTGACATTGAGAGCTTTCCCCCTTGCCACTTTGAAGCCCCCACCCCATATATTTTATGTTGGCATTAAGAGCTCTCCCCCTCCCTTGCCTTCCTGAAGCCCCCACCCCATATATCTATATATATTGGCATTGAGAGCTTTCCCCCCTTGCCTTCCTGAAGCCCCCACCCCGCCTATTTATATATTGGCATTGAGAGCTCCCCCCTCCCTTGCTGAAGCCCCCACCCCATGTATCTTTATATATTGGCATTGAAAGCTTTCCCCCCTTGCCACCTTGAAGCCCCTACCCCATATATTTGTATATTGGCATTGAGAGCTTCTCCTCCTCCCTCTTGCCTTCCTGAAGCCCCCACCCCACCTATTTATATATTGGCATTGAGAGCTCCCTCCCCCCTCCCAATAAGTCTTGGGAAGACTGGATTTGGGGTCTCTGGAAGCCCCCAGGCCCTTTATTTCCTCCTCCCCCTCCAGAATTAAATTCAATAAGCCCCTCCACCTCCCACCCCTTTTAAACAGTGTCTTTTGTTTGGGTCTTTCTCCCCCCCCCAATCCTCTTATTTCTCCCTCATCTAGAGAAAAAAAAAACGAAATTGCAAAATTGATAATATCTCTTTTCCCCCCATTTTGTTCTCCTTCTTGGTTTCGTGGGTGGGTGGGATGTCCGAATGGGATGATGGCTTGGGAAGCGATGCTTGTTAATCTAGGCTTGTTTCTCCTGGAGGTGGCTTGAAAGCTTCCCAGGTCCTGTAAATCAATCAATCCATGTTCTTTCACTCTTATTAACCCGACTTCTCTTTTTCACCAGGTCCCTTCGGCTCTGGATTTCCCTCCCCGCTTTCCAGGAATCTGTCTTGGAGGGGCAGCTTTTTGCCCTCCCACCCAAAATATAGAGGATAGAAAGCCTTTGAAAAGGAGCCCATTTCCTCGCCCAGCTCAAAATCGGACTGGTTTTCAGATTTTTAGACGCTTTCTTTCCCAAATAAATTTGGGGGGGGGGGGGCTGTTCCCTTTTCCTCCTGTGCCAAACTCGCCCATCGGCAGGCATGTGAATTATGCCAGTCCTGTAACACCCCCCCCCCCCAAGTTAATCCCAATTTGCTTTCCGGTATATATTTTTTTTCCTTTAGAAGTTTGCAAGTTTGCTGAGCAGAAAAGAATGCAGGAAGGTTCCTATCAAAACCCCAAAGAGCCCTTCTAAGGTTTTTGCAATTTAGGGTGCCACCCCGCTTTGAACGGGGGTGCGCGTTTCCTTTTTTCTTCCTCCTTTTTTTTCCCCTACTCCCATCGGCGAGGAGAACCAGAGGCGGATAAAGAATCACATCTTGGAAACATGTTAAAGGGGGCGAGTTTGACCCCTCATCTTTTTCTCATAGAAAAACTCCGGACAAGCTGGCTGGTATTTTGGAGTTGCTTGTGTTTGATCCACCCGCGTGGCATCTAAATAGTGGGTTGTGTGGCTCCTAGTTCCTCTTTCCCGCTTCCCCCCCCCCTTTGGACCTTCCCCCAGAGAAGGGACAGGGTACCTACCCCCTTGGCATAGGGTGACGCCTTAGGGGATTCGCCATGGCTGGGGCCATCGCCTCCCGCATGAGTTTCAGTTCTCTGAAAAGGAAACAGCCCAAAACCTTCACCGTTCGGATTATTACCATGGATGCCGAAATGGAATTCAACTGCGAGGTAAATACCTTGGTTGTGGTTTTAAAAGTGGTGGGACACACACAACAAATGGGATGGATTTAGTGCGATACAAGGGAGTCCTCCACTTACCCGAAAATAAGACCCAACCGGAAAATAAGCCCTAGCATGATTTTTCAGGATGCTCGTAATATAAGCCCTACCCCTCAAAATAAGCCCCAGTTAAGATTGTCAGCCAAACAGAGGCATTTAGTACCGTATTTCCCCGAAAATAAGACTCAACCGGAAAATAAGCCCTAGCATGATTTTTCAGGATGCTCGTAATATAAGCCCTATCACCCAAAATAAGCCCCAGTTAAGATTGTCAGCCAAACGGAGGCATTTAGTACCGTATTTCCCCGAAAATAAGACCCAAGCGGAAAATAAGCCCTACCATGATTTTTCAGGATGCTCGTAATATAAGCCCTACCCCCCAAAATAAGCCCCAGTTAAGATTGTCAGCCAAACGGAGGCATTTAGTACTGTATTTCTCCAAAAATAAGACCCAACCGGAAAATAAGCCCTAACATGATTTTACATGTGTTTTAGCCACATTGCGTATCTCCACGGAACAAGCCAAGTGGTTTTGTTCTGGTGCCTTAAACGCTGTTTACAGTATCTCCTTGGTGGATTAGCAGAAATGGCTTTTAATTAAAAAGTCATTATCGGGTTGTCATGCAGCATAAGAAAATAAAAATAGTTTTTCACGCCTTCTGTCCGCGGCCCAGATAAATCGCTCTTTATCTATCTATTTTGACATCTCTTTGTGGCAGAATTGAAATGGGAGGGAGTAATATAAATGTTTTATTTGCTTGCTTCTCCGCGGCCTCCTGGCAGAGGGAAGGGGATCAGGGTATGTAATTATCTGCTGCCAACTCTGCATTGGCGACAGGAAGGGCATCCGGCCAGTAAATACTCAGCTCCATTCAGTTGATACCACACCTCCCCTGATGGGGGGTGATTACGGGATTAAGGGGTCATTAAAAGACAAATAATAATAATAATAATAATAGTTGTTTAGGAGTTGCTTTTCCTTAAATTGTAAAATAAGGATGTCCAACTTGGACCACTTTTAAAGACTTGTGGATTTCAATTCCCAGAATTCCCAACTTTACACTGGCTGGGGAATTCTGGGAATTGATGGGGAAATCCAAATTCACTTCACAACCACTGGGTTACTAATTTAACTAATGCAACGATTCGCTTAACAACGGTGGCAAGAAAAGTCGTAAAATGGGGGCAAGCTCACTTAAGAAACATTTCGCTTAGCGACATCAATTTTTGGCCTCAATTGTGGTCATTACTCGAGGAATTCAGTTTCAGTGCGTCTTCGCTGTCCTTCAGATATTCTTCCAGTGCTGCCGCCTTCTCCTCCTCCTCCTCCTCCTTCTCCTTCTCCTCCTCTTCTCCTTCTCCTCCTCCTCCTTCTTCATCCTCCTCCTCCTCCTCTTCTCCTTCTCCTCCTTCTTCTGCTTCTCCTTCTCCTCCGCCTTCTTCATCTTCCTCCTCTTCTTCTCCTTCTCCTCCTTCTTCTCCTCCTTCTCCTTCTCCCCCTTCTTCATCCTTCTCCTTCTCTCCTCCTTCTCCTCTTGTCCTCCTTCTCCTCTTGTCCTCCTTCTCCTCCTCCTCCTCCTTCTCCTTCTCCTTCTTCTCCTTCTCCTCCTCCTCCTCCTTCTTCATCCTCCTCCTCCTCCTCTTCTCCTTCTCCTCCTTCTCCTCCTCCTCTGCTCCTTCTTCTTCCTCCTCCTCCTCCTCCTTCTTCCTCCTCCTCTTCTTCTCCTTCTCCTCCTTCTTCTCCTCCTTCTCCCCTTCTTCATCCTTCTCCTTCTCCTCCTCCTTCTCCTTCTCCTCCTCCTTCTTCCTCCTCCTCCTCCTCTCCTCCTCCTTCTTCCTCCTCCTCCTCCTTCTCCTCCTCCTTCTCCTCCTCCTCCTTCTTCTCCTCCTCCTCCTTCTTCCTCCTCCTCTGCTCCTCCTCCTTCTTCTCCTCCTCCTCCTCCTCCTCCTCCTCTTGTCCTCCTTCTCCTTCTCCTTCTCCTCTCTCCTTCTCCTTCTCCCTGTTCTATTTGCAATATTCCTCGCCCACCCATTTCCCTTGGTAAATACGGTCTGTCAACATCTCTGCCTGGATGAACGCCATGATTCATGGTCATTATTTTTCTGATTTTTTTTTTTTATGCAAAGTTTTCAGATGTGCCTTGCATCCAGTCCACTATTCTAGCAGTGAGTCTTAACAACCGGACTTGCTCAGATTTTAATTGCCTTGATGCTATTTCCTCCAGAAAGTAGGGACTCTTAAGATCTTCACTTTGGAGATGTATATCCACCCCTAACCGCTCTTCTTAACTTTGGGCGTGCTTCCTAATGATTATTTATCACCTTTTATAAGAATTCACAAGTGTTAGTCTTTAATCCTTTGCGAGGGCTTTCAAAACTAATCATATTATCCTGCTAGATGAACGAAGAGGATGAGATTAAGAAGTGTAGATTCTCAGGAAATGAATCGGCAGGAGAAGGAAAGCTCCTTTGTAATGTTTAACAGCCCACTTGGCTATTAGCAAGCAGAGAGATGAAATATTCATTCATCCTTGCTGATTTCCTTGTGTTTTTAATGGTCATTTCTTTGACTGTTCTGAGCTGCCCGGAGTCGCGGAGAATTGTGTGACGTCTAACTTTAATAAATTATTTCGGAGTGAATCAGATTTAACAGAATAACAGAGTTTGGAAGGGAGTTTGGAGTCCAGGGGTCCCCAACCTTTTGGCCTCAGGGATCACTAAATTCATAATTTTAAATCCCGCGGACGACTTATATGAAATACCTAATGACCGGCTGGGTGGGGGTGGCTAGGTGGTCATGTGACTGGGTAGGCGTGGCCAACTCGATGTCATTCACATTGAGGGGTGCCTTGCCGGCCTCTACTCACCCCTCCCAGTCACTCCTCGCCTGCCCGCCCGGGTGGGCTCCTTAGGGTCCCAACAGGAAGCAGTTGTTGGAGCTAAGCAGCCACCAGGAGAAAGAGTTGGCAAAACAGCTCAGCTCAAATTGGATCTGACCGAGAAGGAGGCTCAGCAGAAGCACCTCACTGAGGACTAGGAGCATAGGCTTTCCAAGCAGCGGTCCAAGATTATGACTATATATCACCACGCTCCATACAATCCCCCTTCCCAGGGATGAGCTTCAAAAATTTTAGCAAGGGGTTCACTGCCTGCTTGCTGGGTAGCCGTGGCCATGGTGGGCATAGTAGGCATGGCCTAGTTGGCCTCCTGCACCACGGTGAGGGGTGGGCTTTTTGCCCTCCTTGGGCTCTGGAGGCTTTCCTCGAGCCTCCAGGATGGTGAAAACGGCCTCCCCGGGCTCTGAAGGCTTTCCTTGAGCGTCCGGGAGGGCTAAAACAGCCTCCCCAGGCTCCGGAGGCCCTCTGGAGGCCGAAATGGGCCTGGCCTAGCCTTCCTGAACTTCTGTTAGGCCCTTTTTCGCCCTCCCTGAGCCTCTGCGCGCCCTGCACTTACCTGCATACAAAATGGGCCGCGTGGGGACTCCTGGGACGGGCGGGGCAGGGTGGGTGGGGCCAGCCAGGAGTGGGATTTTTTTGGGGGGGGTTCTCCAAACTGCACAGAATCTTAGCTAGAGGTTCTCCCCCGAACCCCTGCGAACCCCCAGTTTCCCACCGTAAGAAATGCGGCAAGCCTGAAGGCCCAAGGCCAAAGATGGCTCCCAGGCCTGACAACGACCTGCAAAAGTCGTAACGAACTGTGAAAAACGGTCGTTAAGACACATTTCTCAGCGGCCGTTGTAACTTTGAACCCTAAACGCACTGTCTCGCTCTTCCCCCCCAAAAAACCAAAAACCCCACCAATTAGAACACGGTTTGGTACAGGCTGTTCTTTCGGGTGAGTTTTTCCTCTGCTTTTGCGTTTGATCTCCTGGTCTTCCTCCCTGTGATAATTTTCCAGGGCTTCATCATTGTAATTGCCAGAGGAGCAATTAAGACGTCGCTTGCAGGAAGGACACTGCGCCCATATAGATTGTCATGTTCCCGCGCCTGCCAATGGCAAATGACGCCTGTCGCAGGTTAATAAATAATGTACACCCTCTTAATAGAGTCCCCCCCTTCCCCCCACCTTTCCAATCACGGATCTGCCAACAACCCGAATCAAAGCTTCCCCCCCCGCCAAATTTCTTTCCACCCCGGCTTTTAAGTACCTGTTCCCGTTTACTTAAAAACATTTACGCGCTGATAAATTACGAGAGAGCCGGTTGCATTTAGCCAAGATCGTAAATCCCGCAATACCTGCAAAAATGTTAGCCGCTGCATCACTTAGCCTCCCTCTAATCAGGGAATTTGTTCACGTATCCTTCCGGGACTTGCAAATATAGCTAACAAGCCATGTTAAGATAAGGCTAATGGAATATGACAAGGCTACCTGTTAAGAGAACATTTGTATTCCTGCCAGGAGTTCTCGGGGGACCGTCCAGTTAAAGAGGAGCCACCGGGGGGGTGGGGGGAACTCGCCTTGTGCCCCCTAGAATAGCGACGACCCCCAACCTTTGGGGCACCAGGGACCGGTTTCGTGAAGAGTGGATTTTCCGCAGACTGGAAGGAAGGGGTGCGGTTTTGCGTGCTGCCTGCATCCCGCGGATGGGGCTTTGTTTGTTTGTGCGGCCCGGTTTCTGGCATGCCGCGGCCCAGTGCCGGTATACCGCCCAAGGGTTGGGGACCCCTGATCTAGAACATCTTATAGTCTTGCTGTTCAATTATGGGTCGTCTTCTTTTTTCTTTTAACGACACCATAATCCCTTCCGGTTGGAGTCTAGACAACTGAATGGAGCTAACAGAGTCTTTTTAATGGCCAGATGCCCTTCTTGTTGCCAGAGCGGAGTTTTGTTCAGCAGATATATTCTCATTGTGCCCAGAGAGAGAGAAATATCTGCCTCTACCTAGGATTGAACTCACAGCCTCCTGATTGTGAGGCGAGAGCTCCACCTCTAGGCCACCGCGTCACTC